GGAGTTATTCATGTTAGCAATAATACGCCACGGTCTATTGTAGAAATTAACAACCCATTGGCAGTTATGCAGTAAAACCTTATATTGAGTTTCTTCCCAAGGTCATATTAGGTTATTAGTCACAATATAAGAAAATGAACTTCTATTAAATCTGTCAATATCTACAATTAGTACTTATTTACAATAGTAAAATAAATAATAATATAGTCAATCTATAATATATCACGGCTGGGCAATCCTAGATATTTTTTCGTATTTAGTAAACGAATAACTCGTTGGTAAATTAATCATGATATCTATCTGTTTTTTTTTCGCCGGAGACAAAAATGATATTGCTTATTTTTCGTAACTGCACATTCTGTGGATTTATTTCATTATTTTGAACTATAGGACTATAGGACTCTAAAATATTATATGAACTATTGACTCTATAGTTAATGATTGACTATATAGGACTATTATTATATATGAACTATTCACTATAGGAATCTATCGAATACCTACATAAAGAAGATATCACCTACTATAAATAAAATATTACAAAGCGGAATAACTAATAAGAGTGGCAACGTCGCACCACACAAAGGAATTGCGTTAAGCAGGAGAATGAATTAAAAACTATATATATTACGGGGATTCTGGATAATTTGTAATATGAAATGGAGTCCTGATTGGTTTCCTCCGTCTGGCAATATACGAATATTTGTATATCGACATATGATAAATTTTCAAAGAAATGAGTTAAACACTATCTTTGAAATTGTTTAATGAACCAATATTCACTGTCACAATGTATAAAAATTGCCTACAAGTGGTGGACGCTACAATAATGCGAAATGAAATGACGTAGAATCATATATATATATATATATATATATATATATATATATATATATATATATATATTCGTTTATCAAAGCATCATATCAATACATTAATTTATTATCTTATTTTGTTTCAAAGGTCGTATATTGTCGGGGATAAAATTGCTTTGACAACTGGGTGATACAAAATATTTAAAATAAAATGATAATAATGATTTATCTTTTAACATTTGACATTGATTCAATGAAAATGTTTTCACTATATCTAAAATTTTATTTAGGCACAGATTATGTGTTGCCCAAAAGAAAATTACATAAAATTAAACATAATAAAGTCCTTGATTTTTGTTACCAATGTTGAATGAAAATATCATGAAGAAATTGAATATTAGAGAAAAAACCCTCAGACGTTGGAATATCTTCGCTCTCGTGCCGCTTTATGGAATGTGTAATGTACTTGTGGCAACCGTGTGGCCTAGTTGTGGAAGCGCACTTAGCTACTACACCTCGAGCTCCACGTTCGAACGTCCTAGTGCAATATACAAATATGTAATTTATTTTCGGATTTTTAATAATTATCCTTCTCTGTTTCTGACAATACATCCTTTTCAACCTAACTATCCTATGAACGGTGGATCGGACAAGAGTAGCTCAGGACGAGTGTGTGCCTGTACTTAAAGTTACACCGATGACATTATATATCGCCACACGAGGACACTAATATGACCTGAGAAAAAATAAATGTATTTAAAAAAATCTACTTTTTTGAAATTAGATTATGTTTATCCGCAACCATAAATAACTCCATTCGATACTCTATAACATCTAAATTCGTGTATTGTTCTTTTTATTAGCCATTATTTAAAAAAAATCGTGAATTATTTGCTCATGCTAATAAATTACAAATCAGTCATATCGTTATGGAGATAAATGGGGACATGCGTTTGCATCAACAACATCTCACCCTAAACGCACAACGCATAAACCTCCGTTCTGTCGTGGGTACACTTAGTAGTAGGGTATAGGTTTGTTTACACACGTTTTAGTTGCAAAATATTTTACAAAGTTGTCTTTGCACATGTAACTGGCCACTTATCAGCTTATCGTAATGTCCTATACTGTTATTATTTACACAGTTAATAAAATATTGATTATACTTGACTTAATAGGTAATTCACTTTATTTATAGCTTGTATTAAGTTCAAACAAAAAACAACAAAATAATACATACTTGTAATGTTAATGCTCAACTTTCATAGATAATACTCTGCTTTCTTGATCTAGTGGTTGTACGCGCAACTGCTGATCACCAGGTTCGAACTCTGGCTCGAGTCAAAATCGTTGGTTAAAAGACCAAGAGTCTGTAAAGTTGGTAGTGTTTTACCTCCCTGCCTCTGAAAGAACGTAAGGCCGTTGGTATTGTCTTGGTCTGATCTCTCTCCGGCCGCGTCGGATTAGAGAGATAAGGAGGAACGTCAACTACCCAGTAGTGGTAGAGGTGCTGTACGACCTAAATACACAGCACCTCCCGATTCTGATTACCCTTGGCACCAAGGCAGTGACTTCGCCGCCCTGAGCCGTTAAGACCAAGATCGACTGGAGGCTCTACCACCAACACCTGCAGGAGGGACCTCCACGCACCTATCCAGTCAGCGGACGACGTAGAGGCCGCTGCAACCAGAATAACCACGAGCATCCAGGAGGCTCTCAACGCGGCCTCTACGATTGTCCCTCTCTATGGTAGAAAGGAAGAGCTGCCGCTAAAGATACGCGTGCAGCTGAGACATAAAAGAGCGCTGAGGAAGCTCTGGGCGCGCACTCGCTGCCCCAGAATAAAAACGAAGCTGAACACCTTAACGGACGAACTGTCGGTTGCAATACAGGCCCACAGAGGAGAGGCCTGGGAGCGGCGCATTTGGAAGGCTGACGAACATCAAGCGTCGCTCTACACATTGAACCGGCAGTTAACGAAAATCCGACCACCTGTTTGTCTGCTGACCAACAACGCGGGCGAACTACGTTATGATGCCAAGGGCAGAGCGGATATCCTAGCTGAGCACTTCGAGGAACAGTTTATGCCGAACCCAGCAAGTGCGGACTTCATGGAAATCCACACTCGGAAGGAGAGCCGCGTGCAGGAGTTCCTGTCATCCCCCGCGTCACCGCTTGCAGGAGGGTGGTTTATCTCCCCCGCTGAACTGCGGAGGTCAGCAACCCGCCTGCAACCGAGGAAGGCGCCGGGGCACGACGGGATTACCAACGCCGCACTACGACAGCTGCCCAATAGAATCCTTGCAGAGATAGGTCGACTCTACAATGGCATATTGCGGACATCCCACTTCCCGGAGGACTGGAAGAAAGACAAAATCATCGTCTTGCCGAAACAAGGGAAGGACAGGCGTAGAGCTGTCAGCTACAGGCCGATCACGCTACTACCGCTTATAGCTAAACTGTTTGAAAAAATACTGCTCAGACGTCACCACCCGTGCATCTAACTTCGGGCGGAGCAGCATGGATTCAGGAGGGACCACTCAACAGCAACACAGCTGACCAGAGTGCTGCACCTGCTTGCGGCCGAGCACTACCGTGGCCGCACATTGTTGGGCGTCTTTCTCGATATCGAGAAGGCGTTCGACAGGGTGTGGTACCCGGAACTACTTTACAAGTTAAAAGACCAGACCAGTGTCCCTCCCACTATATTGCGGCTAGTAGCGTCTTTCCTTGTAGACAGGAGGTTCTACGTCTGTGTAGAGGACGCCGAGTCCGCAATAAAACCGATAACAGCTGGTGTGCCACAGGGCAGCTGTCTATCTCCAGTCCTGTACGCGGCTTACACCAATGACATCCCTACCCTGGCAGGGCATCTGCACGAATGGGAGGACGACGTCGAACTGGCGCTTTTTGCGGATGATAGCGCCTACTTCACCTCGTCCAGAAGAGCCCATATCGCCACTGCCAGGATGCAACGTCTGCTGGACCTGCTGCCACCATGGTTGGATGAGTGGAGGATGGCCGTCAATGTTAGCAAGACGACCGCTCTGCTCACTGGTCGCTACAGAAACCTACCACCAACGCTAACCCTCAGAGGCCAGGAGATCGCATATAAGAAGGCCGTGACCTACCTTGGATGCCGGATTGACAGGATGTTGCGCATGACTGCACACGTCGACTTTGTTGTCCGCAAAGCTCGATATGCGCGGGCGATGCTCCGTCCTGTCCTGGCATCCAAGTTACTGACAAAGTCGAAGTTGCCCATCTATAAACTGTATATAAGACCCTTGCTAACATACGCTGCTCCGGCCTGGTATGCGCTCCTGAGCGATCAACAGAAGCGGCGACTACAGGCCCAGCAGAACTTGTCATTACGAACCATAGTCGGTGCGGGTCGCTACGTCCGGAATGACGTCTTAGCGGCCAACTTTAAGATCGAGAGCCTACAAGAATTCGTGGTCCGGCTGGCGCGCGGTATGTTCGACCGCGCTGACAACGGGCCACATGAACACCTCAACGGCTTTGCGCCGTTACACTCACGGGTCACGGCCCACGGACGTGCGCGCGCGCGTGCGTGCGTGCGTGCGTGCGTGCGTGCGTGCGTGCGTGCGTGTGCGTGTGTGTGTATTTGTTTGATTTTTTATCTATTTACATAAAAATGTTAATAAGTATTTTTTAACATCGAAGAGGAGATAGGTTTCACGTAAAATAAAAAAGAAAACATATATATTATGGAATATAAAACATATTTATTTAGTAAAATACACTGTAACTATGTACATAACATTTATATAAAAAAATAAAGACTATCACAACACGCTTTGATCTATTCTTTTAAGTTTTTAGGACTCTACACACCACATATCACTTTGGTAAATAAATAAAATTTAATTGATAATATTGAATGTGACAAGTTTATAACTTTCTCAATTATCAACCATTCACTGCAGTATTACTCGTGCATAATAACATGATACCTGAGTTCGATGACGTCACAGAGGTGTGCTTGTACAGCGCATAAAAATGTACAAGATACAATACGTTGTGAGGTAATCTAACGAGACTAGCAAACTTCATTCGCTGTACAAACAGGGGAGCACGTGGGGATGTAACTTGAAACGGACGAGGCGTTGCATTCGACGCAAGTCTCATGTTATTTTCCACGCGTTATACTAAATATTTGCGTTATTGGTGCAAGCGGCTGTAATAGTGCAACATTTCATTGCCGGTATAGTTGTACGCGAGATATTCTTTAACCGAAATGTATTTTGCGCCGCCGAACCAATCGATCATAGCGATCTGAGCGATCTTCATTTTCGCTACGAACCAGTTGTGATCTAGAAAAAAAAAAGAAATATTAAATATGACCCAAATCCTTGATTAAATCGGTTCGAAGGAATAGGCATAGGCACTCTTTTTACTAATCAGTAGCTACAACGTATGACTTTCTTTGCTTTGCGTTTGTTGGCTTCAGTCGTCTATGGGCCGCAGTGACCACTCACCATTAGACCATTACTTGGACCGCAAGCTCGAATACCACTTTAATGACATAAAATCCATAATGGTTTTTATATTTTAACAATATGTAAGGGGAAAAAATGACAACTTAAGCACGCGGTGCACGCCGATTGTAGAAAATCTGTTAAAAAGTCAATGTACTCAAATTCACAAGCTAAGTGATGCCTTGAGTTTTGAGTGTGCGCATATTTTCCGAGTAGTTCATGCAGCTGGTGCAAGTTTAGAAAGGTCCTTTGTTCATTAGCGGACATAATAACACTGACGGTGGTGATATCATAATAATATAATGTTATCCTGTACTACCCAGAATACGGTTAGGTTGGAACAAGTTAGTGCATATCTAACATTTGGACACCATAATATTATGTTGCGCGTAAAACTTAAATTTTAAGGAAATATAAAGTATATTAAAAAGTGTAGATATATAAAATCATAATCCAACCCATCACTCTATTTCAAGCAGATATTAAACGGCGTTTTAATTTTTAGTTAATTTTTAGAGAATAATACTCAATGATTTCTTACATTTACGCGAACACTATACATTGATTAAAACTACTTTTACGGATTTTATCGCGTTTTATTTATATTAATTTTAATACCCGACGTTTGAGTCCTCCGTGACCATGGGTGCTAGAAAGCACCCGAAACGTCGGGTATTAAAATTAATATAAATAAAACGCGATAAAATCCGTAAAAGTAGTTTTAATCGAGAATAATACTCATTTAAAATTTGATTAGTAGTTATTTTACGGTATCCGTTCATTTAATAGCACGACTTAAATTTTTTCATCGTCAACAAAGAGTATATTAATCACCAAGTTTAATCGCATAAAATGACTTCCTATTAAAACAAAAGATAATCAGTTTTTATAGCTTTATATTTTATATTCGAGTTTTATTAGTCGGTATTTACTTTTTCAAATTCCATCGTATACCGTATGCGCGACAAGCTTTAAATGTCATATAAATTGTATTGTATAATGTAATAAATTGGTGGGTTTGATTGTTTAAAATTTATTTTCTGCTTTTTAGAGCATTTAAATAAAAGCTTGTATTTAAAAATATTTATTACTATTAATTTATTTAAATAACACCACATTAATTGAACCTACGCAGGCGAAGCCGGGGCAGGTCGCATGCTTTATAATAAACGTAGTTGATTAAAACTACTTTTACGGATTTTATCGCGTTTAATAATACTTTTAATTATTTTTAATTCCCGACGTTTCGGTTGCTTTCCAGCATCCATGGTCACGGGGGACTGAGGTGACTGACGTCCCGATGTCATTGTTAAACCCGGAGTACCTTCAGCTTTTTTAATTATTGTTTATGGTCCGATCTATGCAAAATGAACTGACTATGTCCTGAGGTCTTGCAGTGGTATGCTTGGGTTTAGTTTTAATTTTATTGATTATAGGGTCCCAATCACGTGGTAGTACCCAGCCTCCTTCTCTATTGAAATTAGGATGTTTTTTTTAATTTCAATAGCCTCACGTATCATCCTTGGTAGGAATAGGTGTTCTTTCGCGAGGATTTGTGGTCTATCAAATCTGATATAATCCGTAAAAGTAGTTTAAATCAATGTGTAGTGTTCGCGTAAATATAAGAAATCATTAAATAAACGTAGTTATTTATATACTCTTTGTTTTATAAAAAGAGGGTAATTTAAAAAATGGTATTGATTCTATATTAATAATAATTATTATTATTATTATTCTACATTAAACAAAATCCTTTCATTGTTATGGTAAATACGTATGTACTGACTACCGTATAGCCACAATGTGGCTTTACGTCATGAATCACGGGTTCGAATCTTAGCCGGTTCCAACATTTTGTAAAACGTTTTAAACGACACAAATTGTTGTTTTCCGATCTATATATTATGAGGTGATTGTCCTCGTGTCTCGGGCGTTACAAACGGAAAATCGTTACGAAGGAGTAGTACATCAGTCTGTTGTTTGCGCGTATTATATACGCGTAGCACTATTATATGTCTTGCGCGACTTTAATTTTCAATTATAGTCTAAATTCAGAATCCAGATATACATATAAACAAGATAGATGCCGGCGATGTCCTCGGGGCTAATTTTTGATCACCTCTACAACTTTAAAAAGGTAAAGAAATAATAACAGTGTAAAGAAACCTTTGCTTACTAGAATTCTAAACACTTTGCAAAGCGAAGTACAAAATTTACCAGCATGTAAGCCGACTCACAGATAACCCCTAAACAAAACTAGACAAACCTAAACTTAGACAAAGGTGCAGCGTTAAATAAAGTTACTAATACAACCCGTAACTGGAAAATAACAGCCTGGAATCCTGGGTTGTACTCACCAGTAGTTTTACCCACTTCAAGCTGTTCTATTGAACTATTAAGTGAGTGCAGGCGTGCTTCAAGACGTAGAAATTACCTCTCATATTCCTATCAGACTGAGAAATCAAGAGAGGTAATAATTTGCAGTGTGCTTACTACACATGTAATATAATCCTGTCCTTCACTGATGAATAGTCTCAGTTTTGACCAAATTCTGTCTGTAGGTCATTATTATCATCATTTTATATGTAAGTAGTAGAGTTATGCTGCAGTTATATTGTGGTTGTATCACGATTGGGTCAGCGGGGTATGTATCATGCTTTTACAGAACACCATCATAAAATAGCAGCTAATGCTGTTTCGTATGGTGAGTGTAGAGATAGGGAGACCATGTATACTGATGGCGAGGTGTTCAGTCTTGGTCTTTTCAGGGGCGACAATTAATTGAGGATAAATATAGATGTAATCTGTAATCATCAGATTACATTGATCGAGCAAGTAGATGAGTTTGTATATTTGGGCTGCGTATTTAGCAGGGATGGGAGGTTCGATAAGGATATAGAACGACGAGTGAATGCGGGAAATAGAGTAAATGGGGCCTTGCACTCTATTGTGAAGAGTCAAAATGTGTCGAAAAAGGCACGTATGGCAATTCACAATGCTGTGTTGGTCCCTACTTTAACGTATGGTAGTGAAAGTTGGGTGTGGCAGAAGAAGCACGAGAGTAGAATAAACGCAGTAGTAATGCGGTCGTTAAGGAGTATGTTAGGGCTGAATCTGAATGACAGGGTAAGAAATTGTGTAATAAGAGAAGAGTGTGGTTTGCAAGATGATGTTGTGACCAGGATTAAGAAAGGAATGCTTCGGTGGTTTGGTCATGTGGAAAGAATGAATGAGGAAAGAGTGACAAAGAAAATTTATGGTGCAGAAGTGAATGGCAGAGTCGGAAAGGGACATCCTAGGCGAAAATTTATCGACCAAATTGGCGATTTATTAAAAACGGGCCAAATTAGGAGTACCCTTAACCGACGAGCATGTATGCGTAGGTGTATGGATGTGAAGGAGGCAAGAGAGGTGTGTCAGGATCGTGCCAAATGGAAGTCTGTAGTCTCTGCCTACCTCTCTGGGTGACAGGCGTGAGTGTTTATGTATATGTATATATATAGATGTCTATGGGCCGCAGCATTCACTTACCATCAGGTGGACTGTGTACTTGTTAAATTAAATCACCCATAAGTTCTATAAAAATAAAGTATTTAGCAGGGGGTAATCTATGAAGCCGACTACTCTCAATTAAGTAACGTTGAGATTATAATATAAAAAAAGTATTAAAAGATATAAACCTGGAGGGAAATTCGCCATAGCCGGATGCCTTTCAAACAATGCGGCCTTAGCGAAAGTGTACTCTGGGGTGCCTTCTTTGACCTGTAACAATACGCACACGGTAGGTTTCAAGTACGTTTAAATACCCTTATTACGCTACACCTTTCCTCTGCTCTGTTTTACGATAACTTTGTATATTAATTTACACAAATACGTCCTACTACTGAGCACAGGCCATTTCGGAGTAAGTTTTAGGGCAAGAAAGAGTCTGCCGCACTGTCAAATGCATGTTTGTAGAGTTTGCACGTCAACAAAACTTTTTTTTTAAATTTCTTTAACATGCAGGTTTTCACGATGTTTGGTTTCACCACCGAGAACGTGCTAAATCTCACCACTTATAACTGCAATTAACAATTTTATTGCTACCGGAGGGGACTTTTAATAATATAAAATCTTAAGGAGAGGGCATATACTCTGAGTTCCCTATATTCTTTTCCTACTAAAAAAATGAGATGTATCCACCTGTATTGGAACAATAGAACCTAAAGAAAAAAATGCAGTTGACAAATGTATCCTCAGAACTGCAGTAAAGGAAAATGGAGTTACTATATCAAAAGCTGGCATTTTGAGATCCCCAGATTTGTCAGAAAATCATATGAGGTTGACATCCTCCTTCTATATGGTAGAGTAAAGTTACAGCCTATATATACGTCCCACTGCTGGGCACAGGCCTCCCCTCATTTCTGAGAGGGTTCTCATCTCTTAGAAATATTTTTTTTCTTATTCCTCAGACGTGCAGGTTTCCTCACGATGTTTTCCTTCAATGCCGAGCACGTGGTAAATCAGCACTTAAAATTGCAATTAACAATTTCATTGGTGCCGACGAGGATCGAACCCGGTTTACTCGCGTTCTGTTATATTTACAGCGAGCGTTAACCATCTGAGCTACCACGGCTCTCTTCTATACGGTATCGTATATGAAACTATATTAAATCTAACAAAAAGTAAATTGTAATTTAAATATATTGATTCAATTATTTCTTCACTACGAAAGCAATCGGCATTTTATTTACGATGTTTTTATCAAATACTGTAACTATTCGTAAGAGATACTTTATTATATTATTCACTAATTATTTATCTCTATACACGTGAAACGTTTACGTATAAAAGTGTCCATCATATTTTCTTAAAGCAGTAAAACAGTTACTTTTATATTACACAAATAGCCATAATACTTTATGTGTTTGTTCCAGAACAGAGACAGCTGTTGACAGTATGTACCCAGATAATAAAATAAAGTATTGTTTATGTTGCAGAATAATTCGTCACCATTATCTTTCGAAATGTTAGGTAGCAAAATTGATAAGGCGAACGTGACATAACTCATGAATTAATCGCGAAAAGTAAACACAGCTTGTCTGATAACACCGGTTGATCTCTGAACGTGACAGTCTAGGGTATATTTGTTAATCGATGCGAAATGAAGATTGATGGTGTATCTACGTCTTAAAAAAGTTTCCTTATTTACTCAAACACTCAAAAAGCAATCAACAAGATAACGCAGTTCATTTTTTAAACCGACTTCGAAAAAAGGATGAGGTTTCCAATTCGACTGTATTTTTATGTGTGATTTTGATGGTTATTTTTTGTTTGAAAGCCGGTGCTTGTCATGTAGCCAACTATGAATTTTATCATATGACCAGTAGTTTTTGAGTTATCTTTAATGATGCGGATTTAATTGACTTCGACTACATTTTATTTATATTGAAATTAGTTGTACAATTTTATTTTTATTTTAGCCTTGTTACAGAAAAAGGGTGACGAGCAAACACACAGTTCACCTGCTGGTATTTGGACACCTTGGACTATCTTCGATTATGAATCAAAACGCAAATGCGTTGTGACCATTTACGACTAAGATGGAATGCCTCGTCACCAGTAAGTAGTCAATGCAAATGAGTTGGGTTTTTTTCCCAAATACTGATTATTCCTTAACTTTCTGATAATTTTTAATATTATTTCTTCCTTTGATTATTGACCTTGTCAACTAAGAGGCACCAAGTGCCATTTATAATAAGGTCAATAATATTAGGTACTTACATTACTTAATAAGTCGGTAATCTCTCACTGTAACTGTTTAAGCTCACGCCGTCTCCCATCACCTGTATATTAATTCAGTTTCAGGTGTATTATGTTCTCCCGTAATCAGTTATCCATCCATTAGATATTCGTATTGCACTCTTGGAAGGCTCAAATGCTGAAATATCTGATTATATAGCCAAGCGAATTGCGACGCGGTGAAGTTCATGTTTGTAAAATACAGCAAACGATCATGATCATAATTCATAATGGTGATTGATTGAACTTTACTCATAAGAAGGAAAAAAATAATATATCTTTTTAATTATTTTGAGGGCGGATAGATTTATAAAAGGTAAATTAAAAGTTGATTTTTAACATACCGTCTTCATTTTCCCTGAAAGCATTAGTCTTGTGCATCGCGGATCTTCCGGGTCCAAGTTATGTGTTTCGCAATAATTTGTTTCTTCCAAGGACACGAGCACTGTTGCCCGCGTGTTTTTCTGTTGAAATTACATTATTAAAGAGGATATGTTAATAAATAAAAACAAAAATATTTTATTTATTTTTATCAAAAATAAATTTTAAAATACAAATATGAAATTAAAATTTTATGTTTTATAAAATACCGCTATATAATAAAAATACCGGATTGTGTGATAATTTTAGTTTTTCTTATTTTAACAAATGTTTTACATAATTATGTTCTACATGTTATATAAATGAAATATACTTAGTAGAGTTTATAATTATTGTTTAAACGATATGGATGTAAAAGAAACGAGAGAGGTGTGTCAGGATATGCCAACTGGTATCTACCACATGTGAAAAAAAAAAAAACCGTTATGCCGAAAGTATTGCAGCATTAATTTTGAAATAAATATATGGTAAAGTTGAGGATTAATGTTAAGGATTATGTTAGACGAAAACACGAATCCGTAAAATTTTCTCGATAGAAAAAAAATCCAAAGTTACCTCCAAACTGAACAATAAACCGCTGTTATTCATAAAATACTTTAAATAAGATCATGACACTTTGCATACTAACTGAACTAACCATAAAGCAGTGCTTATGTTATTTACTTTTTTTAAAATATCATTATTTTCACTGTAAAAAAGAAATTGCGATTTAAACGCTATCGGCGCGTAAGCTTGGTTCCTGCGGAGCGACAGGAATAACAGCGGTTTATTGTTAACATAGCAGTATTGGAAGGCTGCTGAACCCAGTAGTGTTGCTTTCATCTCTGCATTGTGTTGACAAAGTTTGATAATAATACGTTAATAATACGTTAGAAACTGTGTTACATTGTAGTAGTAGCGGTTTTCAAGCAAACAAAAACATCGACACTCAATACTTTCTACCCTTAGCCCAGTACAAACTGACAATGAAGCACTTCATGTTAGTCTTTAGGGAGCTGCATTTTGATTTTTAATTGAGGTGGACTTAGATATCTAAGGGATACCGCCCTTCAAGTGAACTATGCACTCATTCGTCACCTTAATTTGTGGTCTGCGCCCTCTTTTCCCCTGCGCCCTCTTTTCCCAAAAGAGGGTCGCTCATGATAAGGCACAATACAGCTTAATCAGCCGGCTGCCTGTCCCCAAAGGCGGTTTTTAGAGGGTATCACTTAGGGTCCCCGGTAGGACAGTGAGCCCCTCATAACCACGATAGACCGGCTATCGTGGTATGCGTAATGCATTTTCCGCCTCCCTACATATAGGGTAGCCCTTTAATTGCTTCGGGCGCAAAAAAAAATTTAATTTGTATAAAAACAAACAAGTAACCCTTATTAGATAACATCGTAAGCAATGTCCAAGGACATAGAGACAATGGCCATATTGGATATATTATTGGATATATTATTTTAAATGACTAACATATTTTGCTATTATGTTAGTCATTTAAAATAATATATCCAATCCAAATCCAATTCTGGCCACAACAAAATAAAAAATATAACATATTTTTTATTTTGTTGTGGCCAGAATTCGATATCAAATAATATCGTCCAGTTAATCGTAATCGTCGCATAATGCTTACCGACAAATCGCGTGCAGTAAAATCCAAAGGGGACATGTAGAAATACGGCACCCCGGTAGAGTTAGCTAGAGAGCCATCGACGATGGACTTAACGTTTGAAAATGGGAAACCTTCGATAGCCGGCAGAATTGATATAGTAGCTATCGATGCCCAATCTGCAACATTAATAGTATCATGAGTAGGGAAACAAAGGGCAAAGGGAGTCACAAAGACTTAAGTTTCACTGGCAGCCAGCGCTGGCTTGTTATTGGCCTCATATAAACAGTTTTTCTAGACAAGCCCCGCGCCAGAATAAATAATTTGTACTTAATATGAAAATTTAACTAGTGATATTGTACAAATTCCTATATTAGATGTATGTACTATATGATAAACATTATTTTTAGTAAAAGTTTATAAAATCATTAATTTAATACAACGATTGACAAGAATTATTTAGGAATGAAATAAATCCATTTGGCCTCATCTAAACCACACGGGCCAGGCCAGCGCTAGCTTGTCTAAGGACTGGCGCCAGCGTTACTGGCTTCGTCTAAACCTTGCTTATTATTACCTAAATTTCTAGCCTCTCCGTGACAAGTCTATGTTAGCGACAAAGGAATGCAGTCTGATTGGTAATTTTTCACATTATTTGTACTTTTGTCCCTTTTTAGACAAAGGCATGAGGTAATTATACCCTGTCCGTGAAATAAACACAATATTTAAACTATAGAAATGTTCGTGTATATGGTTAATGGGATAAGGAATGAATTAACACCGTAAGGTAGTTTGTAATAGTTGATAGCTTTTGAATAATTCGAGCATGAATGACTTTTGCATCGTTTTATACGTGGTAGAGCCACGCTGCAGCTATATTATGGTTGTAGCACAAACGGGTCAGCTCGACCGGGGAATACTAGCGTAAAATAACAGCACTAATGCTGTGTTCCGTTTGGTGAGTGTAGATAACCGAAGAACCGTTCTACTGGAATCAGGGCATTCTTCTCTCATCTTAGTCCTCTGGGATGAAAACACCTCGGCATTTTGGTCCCTAACCGACGTTAAATGTAGATGTCTAGGGGCCACAGCATCCGCTTACCATCAGTTGGACTATGTGCTCGTTTGACACCCGTATTCTATTATAAAATCGTTTTGATGACACATTATTAAAATAAAAATCAGTATAGATAGTACGGATGCGGAGAAAGCAATAAAATAACTGCGAAGGCCAGCTGAACAGCAAAATGTTTAACTCATTCATATGGATGATAATAACCCCTGGGAAGGGTGATCGCTACCAAGCTATTTCTAATTCGTGTTGTGTTATTAATTGTAAACATGAGTGTAAGCTATTATTTGAAAAAAAAATAGTCCCGCTGGGTTTCTTGCTGGTTCTTCCCAGGACAGAGGTTTTTTTTTGCGAACCAGTGGTAAATGAAAAAAGTGACTTTCAATAAGTATTGTTTATAATCTATATTAAATAAAAACGTTTCTGTTTCTGTAACAAGGTATAAAATACAAAAAAAAAGTACAAGAGCCAATATAAGTTAAAATACGGAACATTGCCAATGGATGCTCGAGAGTTCTGGTAGACGATACCAAACCTGTGGTTAGCAGTAAACAAGAAACGAACGTGAAATTCAGATATCTATTTTTAGCTCTACTCACTATTCAAGCCAGTGCTTAACTACAACCCTACCTACATATAATGGTAAGTGGTGATGTAGCTTAAGATGGTGAAGCGCACTGACTTAAAAAAGCCTATTCACTCTTGCCTTGAAGACACCTACGTAGTAATCGGATGGAAAGACAAATGCTGGCAACCTATTTCACTTTGTTGTTCGCATGACGAACGATGACAGATCGTTTGGTACGAATGCGTGGTAAGTCAACAACGAAATAAATGGTGGAGACTGGTCGAACGTCTGGTCGTCCGATGGTGGGAAGGAGAAGGAATTAAATTATGCATTCCTGTGCACACTCTTCGAAATGCATCCTGTAGAAAACTGAAAAGTAAAGTAGTTTTTATTGGATAAGGATTTTAAACATTTGTATTTATATTTTTTGTTTAAAGAGTTCCGCTGACACTCAATGAACCCTTACAATTTAGTAAGATAGATACGTGTCCCCTTATGTTTACAGGATGCATTACAGCTTAGTTTCAACCGAAATAGATAAAAATTGAAGTGAAAGAGAATGTGCCACCTTTTTATCTAAATGTCAACCTCACCTGCACCACCTGTTATAAATAATACTCTGGTTAGGATATAAAATGCGGCATATATGTTAAGAAACGGACTATCAAACCGATATATATTCGCGACTTCCTAACATATATTTAATGCCTTCACAAGTAAATGATAGGCAAAATTATAGCTTGCGCTTTACGACTGTCGTAAAATGGTTTCTTTTGTGGTGTTTCTATTTTTACCTTAGTGATAATGGCTGTAGAAAACAATTTTATGTCATACCATTTATGGCTTTACGAAAAAATTGAATAAGGAAGAACGTCAAGAACGAAATGAGTGAGTGACTTAAGATTTGTAATAGATAGCAAAACTAACAAGATATATGTATCCGAAAGTAAGTATACTGAAGGAAGTGACGCTAGTTAGACATTTATAACTGCTGTGTGATAAAATTTAGGTTTTTTTTTTTAATAGTGTATCCATTATGTGTGATAAGCATGCATAGTAAACTTGATGGTAAACGGAATCTGAGGTCCATAAATACCTACATCTATGCTTGATTAACAATTAAAATTCAGACAGGCTGTCATTCTTTAGGACTCACATGGAATAATACCAATAAAAGGGTCTTCAGATCTCGTCGCTCACTTTACGAAATACAACAGCATTATTGTGGCATTTTACGCTAGCACTCTGTACTCTGTACGTCTTTTCTCAGTCAAATTGACCCATTGCAGCTATAATACGCTACCACGTGGCTCAAACACATCACAAAGACAAAAAAATATCAGCGTTTTTGTTCTTTCATAGGTAGATGAGGCATATTTAAGTAAGTATCTATTATAAATATCTACCTAAAAAATACGTTACCACAGTTGTGCATTACATATCTCGCCATCTCAACCAGTTTGGTGTGATCAGGAGGGTCAGCCGAGCTCTTGTGATGTATCGACCTTCGCGTTGGTATTTCATTAGTGTATTCCAGTGAGTTATGTCTTCGTGATCTGTGTTCTTCTGTAGACCAAGTTTTGGATTCGCTGTGCAAGCAAAGAAGGCATATCGCTGCCCCAAACAGAAACCACTTCATTCTTATGTGTTTATTAACCTGTGAAAAATACAGGTATATTGTGAAGCCGACAAAATTATGTTTTTTTTTTAATTATTCTAGTATCTTATATTGTTACCACAGTGAGAAATTTTGTTCGTTTTGCGTTACGTAAGGTATAAATATCAAAGATCCGGGTAGGTATATACAATTTATTTTTGCTTAAAAATACGCGACCAAAACGCTTTCATCCTATTTCATTTTCACCATCATCATTCACAAGTCCACTGCTATTTCTTATCAGGCCGTTTACTCCACCTAGTAGGAGGCCGCCATGCACTTCGCTTACCGGTTCGAGACCGACTCTCGAATACCTTTGTTCCTCATCAATTGTCGGTTCTTGAGCTAAATGGCCGGCTCATTGTCACTTAGCTTACTTATTCGACAGGCTACGTCAGCTATTCTGGTTCTACTACGAACATCCTCTTTACGAAATTCAACCAGCAGAGAAACTCAGAACATTTCCCTGTGAAACCAAAGGTCGCTGAACGACCCTGAGCAGACTGACTGACGAGGATAGCAGTAAATGAACACGTTTAAGATCCATGTGTCTTCGCTGACAACACGCACTCGTTGTACACTCTTGTTTCCGAGTTTTGAGGTATAACGAGATGTGTCATATTCTCCTGAACGCTGCCTAGCCAAGTTGGATCCAGCGATTGATCTTTCGGGCGAAGTTGTTTTTATCTAGTCGGTAAATATGTGCCAGGTATACTCGTCAACAACTTTGAGCTTAGTGCTCCCAACAACTACCGGCACTGGTGTAACGAGGACGTTTTCACACGATTTTCGTCCTTTCCATTTTATTTTAAGACCTACACGTGTATTTAAAACGTAAGTATTAGAGTACCTAGCTAGTATCAGATATATCTTATTTACAATGTCGATGTTTTCTTGTCTACGTCTCCTTTAACGTTTTTGTGTTAAAAATTTTAATTTCCGCGATATGGTAGTAATTGTTACATTTAAGTACTGTGCTAAAGTTTATTTTAAAAGAAAAATTAAATTTTAAAGCAATTTAATAGAAATGTTCACAACAAAAATATTCACAATGTGATCGGTTTCACTGCTAAATAATTTGTTTACGGAATGGCATTAAACACATTACGTATTCTTTAAATCAATTAAGTACTTCGTAGGTAATTGTTTTAATAGAGGCCAAGTAAGCCGGTTTTTATAGTTACCATATTTTCTTGTACCTAATCGTTGTAACTTCATGAAACTGAAATAATATAAATGCATTAATTTCATAATATAATGATGAGTGTCATTAAACACATATCTTTCAATTATTATTATAGTTTAATAACCTTAAAGATCACAGCGTTGATGAGCTGTGATCACAGAAATCTAAATAATAATATTTAGATTTCTGTGGCTGTGATGATCGTTACATGAATACTAAGTTATACTAGGTTGAGCATCATCAGATTTCAGAATAGGACACTTATCGATGAATTAAAGAAATACATTCCATTTTTTTGAATCTTAAATCCGGTAGTAGCCAATGCCAGAAAAAAAAACTAAATTAAAAGATACCCAATTTTTTTAAACTTCACAAATTAATACTTGTATTAATTGTTTAAGGTGTAGCGTAGCTTACTTAAAGGTTTATGAATGTCAGAATCTATACAACCTTTCCCAAAAACAAGGCCTACTGAGAAAGGAACTAAGGTATTTTCTTAAATTAATATCATTACAAAATCAAATACTTGTCTATATTTTTTATGTCGGTTTTTAAACACACGCGGCCTTACTCATAAAAAACGTGATCAAGAGAACAAACCTCAATATTCTTCTAAAAGTATTTTAATACCAACTAATGGTTCTAAGGAAACAAAAGGACAAGATTAGCAAATAAACCTCAAAATAAAAACTCGGTACATATTAACAGTTATTTTTGAGTAGCAATTAGCCAATTATCGTGCATAAAACACATGTTGTACATGTTTAATATCTACAATATCGCATTTGTTTTAAAATTGTTATTCATTTTTATTTATCTACACAAATAAATACTTGCAGTTTTGCTATTTAAAAAAGCTAATAATAGTATGTATTTTAGGTTAATAAAAAGGGGCGAAAACGAAAAGCCACCAGTGGACTGCCTTTTAGAACATTTAAAACTAAGGTAATTAAAATATGATAAATATGGGCTCATAAAATTTGACTCGTAGAAATGTAAAACAAAGCTATTATTTTTTTATTTTAGCGCCAGCCGTCCGCACGTGAAAAGGGTGTTGCTTCGACTTCAATCTAGAACGTGAAGAAATGTGTAGTAAAAAAAGAGGATTTTGATTTAGAGGGACGTAGAATTGTCTCTATACGATACTTCTTACTTTCTCTGCAAGCAGTTGCTGATCACAGTCATGAATCATTTGGATGCAGATTTTCAAATTTGAAATGCATCGGTGAGAAGAGAAAAGGCTTTATTTCAACGTTGTGCTTGAAATGTCAATTATGTAACGCAGAATTTAATATAAGCACCGATGATCCCAATGCTAATTACAATGTTAATCATGGTATTGTCGCGGGCACGATCAGTATTATTTGTGGTCTCGAAAATTTGAACGAACTAGCGGCAAACACTGATATACCCGCTACGTCAAAACAATTGTACAATAACACAAGCCAAGTTGTTTATGACTTGTTTCATAAAACAGCGGATCAAGAAATGCGAAATCTTATTTTTAATCTTGTAACCAACTAAATAAATAAATATTTGTGTATTCAGTTATTCCTTTGTTTGAATTTTTTATCTATTGCCTTCTAAATTACTTCTCTATACGATTTTTCTTTTAAAAAAAACTGGTATAAGCGCTATTTGTATGTTCAGTTTGTATAAAAAAATCATATACATCCGATTAGACGGGAGGAGTTGGAATCATGGAGCTGAACCACATTTCATACAAAAAAAAATTAAAATAAAAAAATTGACTGATTCATAATACAAAATATACAAGGTAGAATCGTAATTTGTATGAATGAAAACAAGAAGCAGTATTTTTTTTCCTTCGGTTGTATTTACCCTTTTTAAACCTACAACCCGTATAAATATGACTAAAAACGACATTTATGAAATATAAAAGGGTAATTATACTACCACAACAAAACTAAAAGGAATATTTTTGGAAAAAAATTTAATAAGTTATATATTTAATGAAATAGAGCAACTTCACGTGCGATCTCGAACGTATTTATGCACGGGGGAGAGCGCCCCCTCTAATGGCTGGGAATGTAAAACAGCACAGCTAGACGGAAGCCTTAAGAGTAAAAATAAAAAGAGAGTCAAAAGTTGCTTTCTTTCTTTTTCCTAAATTGCCACAGAAAGAGACAGGTATGGAGATTTTCTTTTACGGGAGAGGGGGCAAACGAGCGTACCTCGGCCAGGTAAGTAATTACCGCCACCCATGAACAACTGCAACACCAGGGGAATTGCAGATCCGTTGACATACTTTTAAAAATAAAGAATAAAGGGCCTATTGCTCTTGAAGATGGCTAAGTCGTATCGGTCCGGAAATATATCTCGCGATAGTCGATTCCACAAGGAAGTAGTGCGAGGAAGAAAACTTCTTTTAAATTGCACAATGGTGCGCAGCGCAGATATCCAGATGGTATGGATGGTATCGCGAGTTTTGACGCGATGTGTGATGGTGAAAGTTGTCCGAACACTTCTTCAGAGCACTCCCCGTGGTAAATGCAATTAAATACGCAGAGACGCAACATCTCTTCGCAGTGCCAGTGAGTGAAGCCGATCGGAAAGAGCTCGGTCGCCGACGATTCGAACGGCTCTGCGCTGGATGCGATCAAATGGAATGAGCCAGCACTAGGAAGCCCCACGCTAGAGATGGGAACAATATTCCATTTGCGGCCGAACCTGCGCCTTGTAAAGTTGCTAGCGATGTGCCGGCATGAAATACTGTCCCGCTGTGCTGAGCACGCCAAGCTTTTTAGAGGCCAATTTGGCCTTCTCTTCCAAGACACTACGAAACTGCACGTCAATCGATATGTCGACGCCTAGGATTCCAATACTGGCTGAAGCAACAAGGCACAACAAGGCACTCCGCCTTGAAACTGAAGAGATGCGACGAAGGGATTCTTTTAGCGGTAAACGCGCAAACTTGCGTCTTTTGTGGATTGAACTGGACTAGATTCAGTGGCCCCCAGTCCGAAACTTTGTTTAACAAAGTCTCGACTTCAGACACATGTTTGTCCCGGTACTCGGCAACGTTTTTTCGAGAAATATTGGCACAACCGGTGTGTAAAGCATCACCAGTGTTGTCGTCCGTATAGCAATGAATGTTACCGGTTTGTAATATATCATTGATATGCAGATAAAACAGCGTTGGTTATATAGCACACAGTCTTCTGGAACACCAGCGTTAATGGGCTTGTAATCGGAGCATGCACCGTCCACTACGACCTTGATGCTCCGATCTGCAAGAAAACTGGTGATCCAATAGAACAATTTCTCGGGAAGCCCATAGGATGGAAGCTTTGTAAGAAGCGCTTTGTGCCAAACCCGATCGAATCCCTTCGCTATTTCCAAACTAACGGCTAACGCCTCTCCCTTGGACTCTACAGCCTTGCCCATCTATGAGTTAGGTAACCCAGAAGATCACCAGCTGAGCGACCCCGACGGAAACTATACTAGCGATCACTAATCAGTTGGTGATTCTCAAGGTACCTTATGAGCTAGCAGTTTATAATGGATTCCTTTATTTGATAATTAATGCTTAATTTATGTAAGCGACAATCAACGATTATATAGAAATATCTATATACCTAATGCTGTAACTCGGTAGCCAGAGGAACGCAAATACGAAACAAAATTCGCTCGTGGCGATGGCGGCTTCATATTACTTATTAGGTACAACAGGTTTCTTGAAATGGCTCTTAATATTTTCACGAATTTCATATAATATATTACTACCATATTTTCCATTTTCAGTGGCGTGTAGTGACGACCTAAGATCCAGCTACTTATTTCATCCCGTTGGTGTTGTAAGTAGGGACTATGAGAAGTGCCAGGAAGCCTAAGTACCTAATCACATGACCTTCGAAAGTAGCGGGTTTAGTCATATCGTTTACGCCAGACGTAAAATAACATGACCGACAACGTGAGTCAGCGTTAAAGGTGCGAGACACCTGGTACTGTTTCTCCCTCATTCGGTTCCTCAGCCCCGTTCTCGTTAGCGAGACCGCTGATCACGTAGTACTGGGTTCAAATACTGAGTCGGGTCAAAAGGTTTTTCTGTCAAAAATTTCTCAATAACAGCTCGAAGTCAAAATGTTAGCGATGCTTCAGACCCGTGTCTCAGAAGTAGGTACGTAAAAACGTTGGTCCTGCGCCTGATCTTCCTCCGGTCGTGTCGGATTTTGAATTTTTTTATTTAGCTTATGGTAAAAAAACGTACTTTAGTAAAACAAATCAATATTTTACTAACTACTATTTTACTTAATCAATTTTTTTAATTGTTTTAAGAAAAGGAAGGGACAGCGCTTGGGATATGTGCAACTAATATGCTATGCTACTCTGGAATTCAAATTCTTGAGCACCATACAATATTAATTAGGTACTAATTGTTTGCAGCCAAACCCGCAGAAAAATGCTAGTAAGTACTAATTATTGTTTTACAATAGGTAATAGTTTTTATAAGAATAAGTTTTTGATATGATAGATAGTTGTAAACGAGACGCGCGCAAAATATAAGAAATTGTGTTGCGTTGCGTGGCACCTTGCACAGTGACGTCACTGCAATCAAGCGGCTTTGATGTTATTTATCTCAGCAATTATTAAAGATATATTTGTTACAAAAATCGGTAGTCAGATTTATTATGCCAATCATTTACGTGAAATCATCTATGTGAAAAACTTTTGTGACAGACAGTAAAATACATGGAGGCGGTTTCATTTGTGATCCATTTTCCGTTTTGCTAATCTGACATGGACCATTAGATGATGTATGTAAACCGAAATCCACGCGGGCCAAGCAGCAGAAGCTAGTGCTAGGCGGCACTCGCCACGGTCACCCGGCCAGTGGCCAAACCGACTACCGCCGAGCCAGCTTCTAAAACAGATATTATACTATACTCTTAGATATCTTCGAGATTAGATGTACGTGTTTGTGCTGCAATTGTCCGCGCTCTAATCCTTTTTATGCCATGCTACTACAAGAAGACCTTAAACATATTATAACATCGTCAGAATGCATTCCAAAAAAGCGTCTTATTTGCGGGGTCGTCATGGTGTAATATTCCGATAAAAGCGGGTCTTTTTTAACATTTTAGTGATCCCAGACCCAGACTAAATTGAAAATATTGACTTGCAATTAAGTTTTATTAATTGCTTTGAAAACATAAATATTATTTATAATAAAAAAAAAAACAAAAATACCCCTGAAAAACTTACTACCTACTCTCGGTACTCGAGTAATAATCGAGAGGGAGTAAACGTGTGATCCCATACATAAATAAGTAAACAAAATTTATTTCATTGTTTACATTACTTAAAAAGGACGTACACATATGCACCTGTATGCACCTAAAACCATGTTGTTATTTGCAATTGATTTTAGATGGATATGTGTGCGTTGGTGCGTATTTTAAAACTGAAGTGCCACACGAACTTACGGTTCATAGTCCCAACTACACTATATAAATCCATATTATTATACTGTGATCCCAACTTTATAAAAATAAGGCTACAGATCAATGCAAGCATAGCAATTTGGCGGCAGAAATAACTAAAAGGATGTTAACTACATGGACATAGAGGCAAAAAAGACGTCCTACGACCTAATAATTAGTACTAAAAATACAGATAATATCTTAATATATATAAATTACGTGTCACGTTGTTTGTCCGCGATGGACTCCTAAACCACTGAACCGATTTTAATCAAATTTGCACATCGTGTGTAGTTTGGTCCAACTTGAGAGATAGGATAGTTTTTCTGTCCATGAGTGACCCACATTTTTTGTTGTGAATTTAAGGATTTTAATAGGAGATGACAAAGGGTCGTTGAAAAGGGCAGAACAACGTCTGCCTGGCAAGCTAGTACACAATAATATTCAAATAAGACGCTATCATATAAAAGTTAGGGTAATATGTACCTAATCGAAAAATCGCCTTTCTTAAATATGATATTATTATGTCGGGAAGGCGATTTTTACGTAATCGATAAATCCAATTTTTCAAGAGAAATAAAATACCGTTTTTTATCTTATTATTTGGGATCAGTTTTTTACCAAAAACAAAAAATAATCTGGGGGCACCTAAGCAATCAGCCATTGTTTAAACACGGTATATTTCAAATTTCATTCAATTTGAACCAGTAACTTTAGAAATAAGTATAACTATAGTTGAAGTTTCTTAATTTTGGTACTCACTTACTGACTGACTGACCGATCATCAAAACTCTAAGGCACTTTTAGCAGACATAGAAGCCTCAAGTTTAGAATATAATTAGTATTTAGTATATAAATCAAGGAAAAACTAAATTATTTTGCAATTTCGGTCCAGTTTTCTAGATACATCAACTACATAAATAACTTTGTAATCCTATATAATATATAGGATTACAAAGTCACATTTGCAGTGAATGAATCAGTGTACCGGTATATGTATAATTTTATAATGGAATAATAGGTGTAGATAGACGTACGGTGTAGGTACGTTGTTGGTATTCAAAAAGTAGAAGGTACCGGAAAGGAAAAAAAGTAGGACTATCTACAAAAAGAAATGAGATCCCATCAAAAATATAATTTAAAAACCAAGCCTCGCAACGTTCTTCTACCGTAATGAAGAAGGACCCTTTAGTAGGGGCTGAATAAATTAACCGATTTGGTGTTACATGGATGGATCTTACAATTTTTACGGTAGAAGAACGTTGCGAGACTTGGTTTTTTTACAAGTTATGTTTTTGATGGAATTTGATTTAACCCTAAGATTTAATAAATTAGTAACCAAAATAAAGTATAATGTTTGATTTTTACGTGGAAATATTTGATGCTTTGTAAAGGGAAATTTTCCTAATGCCTACGAAAAACTAGGCAAAACCGTGCAAAACTAGTCATGTTAACGATTTATTAGTTCATACCTTTAAAGTCAATTTTAATTATTATAAATTGTAATTATTAATAATTATTATTTAGAATCTACATATACGAAATTGTAAGTCTTCAATTCTATATGTTGCATTAAAGTATGTGACTCATATAAACAGCGGATAAAATTTCACGGCTTTAATCATTGTATAGTAAATATATAAGGAAAGCTTTAATTAAAATAGTTGATTGTTTTTGAATAATAATAGTGAATATATATATATATATATATATATATATATATATATATATATATATATATATATATATATTCTAAGTATTATTACTTAGTACCTCTTTCTCATTCTATTGTGTTTGGTCATTTAGTGATGACTAAGAGTTATTACATAGGTACATAGAGTGATGAGAGAGAGTAATTAAATTGATGTCAACTTTTATGAAGAGTAAGGCTTTTATTTAATAAACGCACTGTGTGAAATTCAAATTTTAAAAAAAATTATCTAAATTTCATAATGACAAACAAAAAAGATTTCAAGGTTATGATCAAGGAATATATTTCACGAGAGGTTAAGACATCATTATGATGTAATGTGATTATCGAGTAAAGTTATAGATATTTAATCAGTTAAAATATCTACGTTAAATATTGTAATAATGATTTTTAAACATATAAACGAAAAAAAATAGAAAAGATCATAAAATTATGTTACATGATATTTTTTCATTTCTTTACTGATTATGTCTGCATTATCTGAAAAAATATTAATTTTACGATTTACATAAATTTAAAAGTAAAAAATGAATAGCGCAATATATTTATTACAATAAATAAATTTTACCTTAAAACTACGTAGCTGATTTTGTATGAGGTCAAGTTTTCACGATGCAACGCCAATATTATTTGGCAAAGTTTAATGTTTCGTCGAACCAAGTTGTTACGGGAAGCACGAAATAATAGTGTTCTTTATGAAGCACACACAAAGACTAGTAAAAATGCGGACAGTATTATGCACGGTGCACAGTGATAAGCTGATCAGTCAATATCAAAGAGTATATAAATCTTTCAAAGAATTGAACTTCACGTGTATTTATTTCATTTTATTTTTTATTTGCTTGGAAAACTTACAGCTAATTTACAAAAATAATATAATTGTAACAAAAATGAAGGCAATTTACAAGTTTTCACTTATATAGTACTTTATATAAGAAGATTGTGTCAGAAGAGATATATTCGAGTATATGGCAAGTAACAATACACTTAATTATAAAGAACATTATCAAAAGAAAAGAAGTTGTTAGAAAGTGAACGCCTAAGCGCTAAGATGTTTTTCAACATATAGATACGTCGTACTCGCTCTAGAATGGCAATACGAAAGTCAGGTAATTGGTGGACTAGCATTCCTTCAGTCGGCACGCCTTCAGTCGCGCCAAGAGCGCTCAGTACATAGATTACTGAGCTCAATAGAATACGTAACTAATAATGTATAATTCATCTTTTTCTAACGATAGGTATATCATTTGTCTCTTTTTGTTAGCGCAACGTGTCATAATAAATAACTGTACGTAGATGTATTACTACTTGCCCCTGTGCGCCACTTTAAAATGCAATAATGTTACCTAGTGTGTATAGGTCGCGCCACCAAAGATGAAATTAAATAGAGTCCACTGCGCATGTACAATCAAGCAGAAAAATGAAAATTTTATTATGGCATTTTAATATGCAAAAAGTCAAAGGTCAACATTATAACTACACATCAGTCTCCACGAAAACGGAACGATATATTTATATATCATCGTTAGATTTTAATTGCTTCTAAATAATATTCTGCATTTTATGTACACTTAGTTAAAGAAATAAAATATTTTGTATTTGTATTTTTGTATTTGTAATTGCTGTTTAAACTATACTATGCGATAGCCTTCGATTATAAGCATATTTTACATGCAATAATTTGCAAAAAAAATCATCTTGTAGAAAATAACAAAATATTTACAACTTTATACAATATACTACGAATTACGCTATTTTAAATAGTCCCAAAATAATTTATAAAGTAATAAATATTTGCACACTATTTGAAAATATTATATACAATATTTTTAAAAGTACAAAAATAATCGCAAAATTTAAAATTTTAAAACAGGTAGTCGCTAACACTTTCGATATCGATAGTGCACAAGACGACACAAGAAGGTGCGCGGGCGACGGGACGCAGGAAGAAACGACGTAGGAGTAGCGCGTCGCCCGTTGCTATGGTTTCGCTTTCCCGTACCTCACACCTCACCGTGCCGACAACTATTTTTCGCTTCTGCGCACTTCCATTTAATTTCATCTTTCGTGGCGGGACCTATGACCTGTCTATCCTTTTTTATACGTCTTTGCCTAAGCTGGAGAACGCTGGAATGAAATAAGTCAATATCCAAATTGTGAATACGTGAGTATGTGATAGTGAATATGTATGTGTTGCATGATAGAATAATAAGAGTTTTGTTTATAATTATTATATAATATTTTTCACACATAGTACAGATAAAAATGTAGGTTTTCGCAAGCTAGGTATGTAAACCTATTTTACCCAATAACTCAGGGCAATCAACATCCTCATTAACAATTTTAAGGAGGAAAAAGAGATCTGCAATATTTCTTCGCTCATATAAAGGTAAAATATGAAAATTTTTACATCGAAGAGTATAGCTGGGTATAAACTTTTTTGATTTAAATTGAACCATGTAGAATTTTAAAAGTTTTTATGCTTTTAAAATCTGCCGATAATCTTAATATAAAAACCAGCACTTTGTTAGCCTTTATAACAGTATCATCAACGTGATTGTCAAACAGCAATAGTGAGTCAAAGGTAACAATGAGCTCTTTATATTTATTTATCTATTTTTTAGTGCTGGGTCTATTTAGAGAAGTATGGTGTAATTTATAATTATAAATTATAGGATTAGGTTTACGAGTAAATGAGCAGATAACATATTCAGATCAAGTTTATTGTTTGAACAGTACACTTCTAAATTATAGAGGTCCTTTTGAAGGCTAAAACAACTTTCCAAATCTGTTATAGGACATAAGATTTTCATACCGTCAGTGTAAAGAATAATCTTTGAACTTTTAAAACACGTGTCGATATCATTGATAAAAATTAAGAAGAGCAAATGATCTAATAGGGATCCTTGCGGTACGCCAGACGATATATGGATTGTAGACAAACGATATCGACCAAGGACGACTGATTGACTTCGATTTCTGATATATGACGTAAACCATCTGATCAAATCACCCCTGATACCCATTGCAAGGAGTTTACATAAAATAATTAAATTATCAATTTTGTCGAATGCTTTGCAATGGTCTGTATAGACTACATCAACTTGTGCTGGTTTCGACATAAAGCTAGTTAGATAGTCGGAACTAATAACGAGGTTTGACACAATAACCTCTGTAATTACTATAATACTCTTTGAATTAACTATTTTTTATTTATTAACGTGCGTTTTAACGATAGTGAAAATTTTACATTATACCACTGGTGCTGTAGACTTATTCATATACAACTACCTGAACTAACGATTAATTTCAATTCAATCGCTCCCTGAACTTTCCTTATGTAACCTCCGTCTACGCTGAATATAATTACTTTGTGCGTAACTAGTATTAATATAGCTTTAATGGTTTCCTTATTATTTATACTCTTTGCATAAAACTGTTTACGAAGCACAAAATATAATTACTTAGCTTCAATTCAAATACTAAGTATGCAGTATACGTCCAAGGTAGACATAGTATAAAATTTTACAGGACTTAATACTTAACTGGTTTTTCGTATTTAATTATCAAACGAAGCAAAGATACAAACGTATTTATAGACGTTGCGTCTAATTCAGATTCTGAGATTTCACACGTGTAAATTGAAATGTCTAGTGGTCTGTGGCCTCTTTTAGTAGGTAAACTATGCCAAATATGTGCAAAATACTCATTAAAGACGAAATAAATTACATAAATGTCATCAGTCATTATCTACCATCTACGGTGTGATCTCAGAGTAATTGCTAGCATAGATGGAATCCTAAAATAAGAACAAAATTCTTGTAGTTGAACTCTTCCAAGTCGGACGTTTTGCGTGACATAAAATAAGACCTATATTATTCTCACCTTACTATGACAAGATTGTTGCCGTTCTATAAACACCTCTATTGATGTGCTATTAACGAAACAAAAACGTCGATAACTATAACTTATACCTAACGTGACCATTTATTTTTTGACTCAAAACGGGACATTGATTTATTTAGGTCAATTAACAGGTAGTCAATAAAAAACACTTTAAGGTGATTTATTCAGAAAAATTCAGTAAGCTTAAAAATTACGAATTATATAATATATATATATATATATATACGAAACTTTTAGTTATATTTGTATTTCTCACATGAACAAATTTGCTTTAATATAGCTGGTTGTGATATTAAGTAAGAATGAAACTCTTAGAAACTCCTTTTTATATTCACCTAAATTATCAATATCGCCTTTAGAACGAAATTTGTAGTTCATCAAAAACTTCTGCATCTTTATTATAGTCAATATATCCATTTTCAATTAATACATTCAGAGACTTTTGAACATCTTCCCTTGCGGGAAACTTTTTTAAATCTGCCCAATAAAATATCTCCATTTCTTTGGTAAGAAAGCAAGTCCACTGCTCCAGATATTCACGGCTTGTTTCATGAAATTCTGTAGCCGCCCTTTTCACTATTTTTTTATCTACGTCAGTAACAATATCTTTCGATTTCACTTTTAATTGACGGACCGTAAATGGAAGAAACTGCTTGGTCTGTTTCTGAGTCAAATTGTCTTTTAGTTGATTTTTTTGCAGCTTCAATAGCCAATACCGTCTGAATTTCAAGTTTCAATACAGCTCGATGAAAACTTGCTGACTGAGCGTATAAAAAATAAAGCCATAATTCGGATGTGGGATCTTCAAAAAAATTTTTAGTAACAACAATACAAATTTTCGCGCGGTCTCAGAAAACGGGACAATTTTGGGTCCCAGAGTTCATTTCGGGGACACCGGGACTCGTAACTATAAAAAGGGACAGTCCCGTTCAAAACGGGACGTCTGGTCACGTTACTTATACCTAGGTATCTCATATTTTATGCTGCCGTTCAAAATGACATTTTGTGATTCATATGGTATGGTAATACAAGTATTGAGTTATTAAACCTTTAAATACGACTAGCTTAAATAAATTTAATACTAAAGAGTCATGTACCTATTAAAGTATGAAGAAATGTTTATGGTTTAGTAAAATTAAGGTTTTTTATTAATCCGGTTCGTAATACTTATTTATATCAACGAATGTTAATAGAAGTTTAATCTGAAATCTTACTACAAAATCGTAGTCGAATAATGCGGAATTTCGCACTAACATGGGAATTATAATATTATACATGGTCATTGAGCTATTATGTACTACATACTAGAGGCGACACTGTCACTGTCCCATTCAACTGTGGCGATGTCGCCGCACGTTTATCAGTCACTCGCTAGGCGCTTGTAGAGTTGACACGTGCTGTGTTGATTAAAAAAAATCTCTTGATAAAATATTCCGTGGTGTGTTCTTAGATATTGCACAAATAATTCAAGAAATGTCAATAATAACCGAGGAATTACTTTTCATCGGTTAGTAAGATACTTAATTAATAAAAAAGCATTAGAGATTAATTATTAAACAAATTATTCCTTTGGCGCCACTTTGTGTACAGAAATATAGATTATGAAATTTATTTGTTCAGATGCGACATTTCTGCGAACAAGTGTTTATATTACGAACATTTTTTTTGTAATTGAGTCCGTGCCACACTCTGCCAAACGGCTCTTGGAAACCTAGTTCTAGTCTAGTTCTAGTTCTAGTCTCTAAATGTATTTCATTTGCTTCGATTTTTTTTTCATTTTAAAAAATTATCTTTTAATATATTCATATAAAAATATAATTCAAATGCAATTGTGACAACATTATCTATTATTGTCTTAATTTACCTTATATCATGCAAAATAATTGACAAATTATTAAAATTTTAACTCGTTTTAATACATTTATTAACATTATATTATGTAATCTTAATAAATAATAATTACATACTGATCATTCTACTTAACTTATCTGTGACATCGAACTATATTACTAACGTATAGAAGAGACATCCCGAACTAAAAGTTTGCTTCATTTTGGTAAGAGTTAGAACTAAAGTTCGCTGAATAATAGTTACGTCGTCTAACCAAACTATTAAAATATGCAGCGCTAGTTTGCACTAGGGATTAGTTTTCTCGCGACCAAAACGTCACGCGTATCGTTGAACCTAGTGTACAACAAGTCGCTCCTATAGATTTTACAACGCAGAAGTGACACAACTTTTGTACCTACTACAAAATAATACTCTGCCTTGTCATTAAATAAATAAAAGAAGTCTCATTGCAATTTTATATAAACTTTATTTATTACACATTCTAAATAATTCAACACAAATTAATATTTAATTGCCTTTAAACAATATAAGTTTAGTGAGCTTTTGGAGTTTGCTCGTATAATCATTTGTTATCTTTGCCTCGTGGTGCAATCGAACAGTTGTATATTTGTTTATTATTGCACGTATTAGATGCACTCTGTGATTTAACGTAGAAGGTTGATCAAATAAATGACCAAGTAAACAAACGAATACGTCTTTCTCAACAAAACGCTTCAATGCATTAGTTGTAATATAGTTGTAGTCGTATTTAGATGACAGGCCATTCTCGCTACTGAACCGAATTAACCGACCTATAATCCATCGATAGGCAAATTTTATAAACATCTTCAATGGAGTAACATAAACCACCAATATCTTTTATACTTATTAGTTTTTGATGCGGAAGTTTTTGTGTCGTGGTCAAAGTATCAATACCGAATATAGAAATGTAACTAACAATTATTTTAGTAGCTTCCGGTATATTTTCCTGAAATAATCGTTATATTATCCTCATCCTTAAAGTGTTATGAACATAAATATGTATGAAGAGTCGGAAGCTTCATTCCGATTATTTTGCACAAATTTTATCCACGTTTCTCTTTTCTCATGACCTGGCAGTAGAAATCTTCAAAATTATTTAGGTTATTTAGGTAATAGTCACAATTTACTTATTTTACACAATAATAACACACAATAATAAATAATACAATACTATTGACAAACTGAACAACAAAATAGGCTCAAATGTATGTTGCGTATCTGCGTCTTTTGTATTCATTACTCTGTGATTAGTATTGCAAAATGGCGGCGGTCGACAGCCCGATTCTCGGAGCAACAATGCAAAAAACTTTAAATCAAAAAGTTTTAAATGTTTTAATGTCTACTTGCCGATGAAATGAACTTCAGAACATCAAAAAAGTGATGGTTTAACCATCACTTTTTTGATGTTCTGGAGTGTTCACTGCAGTCTTTAAGAACACAATCAGGCATTTTGAAGTTGTTATTTATGCGAAGCGAACACGACTAGACTGTGCGGGCGTTAGACACTTACTAATACAGATGGGTCTAAAATTAATAAGCTGCTAAATTAACACTGCTAATTTTTTTTAGTGTCAACACCTGTTAAATAAGTTCTGAGATTGCTGTTAAATTTAGCAGTCACAACTCACAACAAAACAATAATGGTCTTGCTGGCTGGACATGGACAGTGCTCCCATCCGCACCAAACACGGACGCCGGATATATATTTGTCTCGCTTTATCCCACTACAGCAGACCGCAGGCAGACGCGACGGCAACAACAAAGAAAACCCAAACTAATAAGAGTAGGTACTAACGTAAAAAAAAGGACACACGACGCACGTGTTCCGTTTCCGTCTCTATTGAATTGTTTTCAACATAGCGATTTATTTAGCAACTACTAATTTTGTATTTAGTGTTCAGTCACAGTTAGAATGTTAGGGTCGAGCGAGTTCATTTAATTAACTGCTAAGTGCTAACTGCTGAATTTGGAAATAATTTATTATAATATTTAACTAGTGTTAAATAAAGACTGATTTTCGTTACGAAGGTTTACGCGAGTTTGTTATCTAGGTAGTAGGTAGGTAGTTAGTGTTGTGAGTGAAAATTCCAATTGTTTGACTGCTTGTGTAGTGTTGTTTGCGTTTGAAACAGAATACTTACAAATTGGAAGAAAACAACTAAAACGGATATACAACGCCAAAAAAAAGGTGAAATATGGAACTTTTTACGGATAGCAATACCGTAAAAAAATTGGTACGTGTAATTTGTAATTAACAATTATCATTTTTAAATGGAAATAAAAAATATATAAAATTTTAAGATATGTTATGTTATTAAGTGATAAGTAGATATAAGAAAAAAAAACAAAAGATAAAAAAACGAGAAAAAAGATAATTATATAAAAATTACGAATACTAAAAAAGCAGATATGAAAAAAAGAAATCGTTGTAAATAAATTGATTCTCATTATAAATACGCCAACAGAAAAAGTTGAAAGTCCTAAGCCTGTGAAAAGTATGAAGGAAATGAGAATTAATTATGTGTTAAAAATCTGTCTGTGACTAAATTTAACAGTAGCTAAAAATAACTGCTAATTTTAACTGTTACTTATTTCTAGCATTAGCATTTAGCAGTGTTATTATTTTTTAACGTTTAAGCCCATCTCTACTTACTAAACAGTTGCGGTACAGTATACCGCAATGCGTGGCGCAAAATTGTGCAAGGCGATGTCTTCTCTATACGTAGTAGTAATACCTCAATGATCTATGATGACAAAAAATCGCGCATGCGTTTCACGACTGTTTACCGCGCGTACCTACGCAACGACATAGAGTAGCGCACAATTTTTGTTTGTAATTATACTTCAATGTACGTGGTAGAGCTTTTTGTAATCCCATCACAACTACCAATTAATCTATTACGAACATATTACATACTTGTTTTCCTCTCGGCTCCCTCAATCCATCATTTATTCACTAATTAGGTACAGACTACCAAAAGTCCACAGCTGAACATACAAAGGTCTATTCCATGGAGGTTAGAGAGAAGGAGAACGATCGTTACGTGCTAAAGCATAGCTCGCCTGTCCCTGAAATGCCGTCGGTAAGTAGTATCTGCGAAGTGAGCTGATAGCTAACTTCTAGCTTTTATTGAGACAACTTAGCGATCGCAGCTCCTCACTTATTTTGTTCATATTTCTGGAACACTATTTTCTACTGCGATCGTTCTCCTCATGGAGTATAGTACCTTTCGACTCCATAGTTCTCCTTCTCTCTAAGCTCCATGGTCTATTCCATAGATTGCCCATATTCGACTCAGAAGGGCTAGAACCTGGAGTCGTAAAGCCAGTTAATAAAAAAATTGCCCATATTTCGATTACCGTAGTACCCTATCTAAAGGCTGCAGTACACTACTCGCGAAGTTCCTCGCCCGAAGTATTCGCCAAAGCCAGCCGAGGTACGAGGAGCCTCTGTACACACTCTCTCAACTTCGTGAAGAAGTAGTCGCTCACACGCTAGGTGAAATGGAGGACGTACATGTGGCAAATGCGTTTGATTTGTGCACTGTTGCGTATTTTAACTATGTGCGTATATTTGGATGCAAAAAATTAAAAAAAGGTCCCATATTACCGTTTCCTCCTGGAGCATAGAAAGCTGCAGTTATATTAGTGGTATAGTTGTAGCACAAATGCGCCGGCTCGACCGGGGTAGGACCACACTCTCACAGAATACCAGTGTAAAATGGTAGCGTAATGATGCTGTGTTTTGTATGGTGAGTGCATGGAACCGGAAACCCTTTTTACTGGAAAAGAGGCATCCCATTTTAGTCCTCACGGGTGACAACGCATCTGCATTTCGATTCGTAATCGAGGATAGATGTAGATGTCTACGGCTTACAGCAACCACTTACCATCAGGTGGACTGTGTGCTCGTTTGTCACCCTATCCTATAAAAAAGAATATCTTACTAAACAATACGTTACCACAGTTGTGCATTACATGTCTCGCCATCTCCACCAGTTTGGTGTGATCAGGAGGGTCAGCCGAGCTCTTGTGATGTATCGATCTTCGCGAGGCGAGGTCAATCTAGAACAGATGTAGATGTCTATGGGCCACAGCAACCACTTACCATCAGTTGGACTATGTGCTCGGTTGTCACCCTGTCCTCTAAAAAAATAAAAAGAGCAACTCCAAAAACAATAGTATTTGCTCTTGTGACCAATTCATTTTTAAGTTAAGCTGACGGCTCCTTGGCTCAGCAATGATTTACAGCGCTAAGGGCCGCGGCTTCGAATCCCGCACGGAACAAGTATATTTGTAATGCCTACAAGTAATTGTTCCGGGTCTGGATGTTTGCCCTTGTGAAATTTATGTTTGTAAACTATACCCCCCTATACTAAAACTAGGCCCCCACGATACAGAAGAAAATCCTAGTGTGGAGGTAACGTTTATATAAAAAGAAAAAAAAAAGAAAAGAAATTTGGATCGAATTAAAACGTTTTTAAATTAAACAGCACAACGTTAACTTTATAGAAGTAAGCCGAGTAATGTACAGGGTCACTTCGTGCTCGAAACTTCGTTCCTTTGACTCGGGCAGAAAAAACCGACAACGATCGGAAGTCAACCGAGGCGAGGCAAGGTTGTCCGAAGTGAGGCGAAGTGTCCCTATACACACTCGTCTTTGCCCAACTTCATTCAACTTTGCGAGTAGTGTACTGCAGGCATAAGCAAGTGGGTTGGCAATACCATTTTCTTACTTTGAGTTGTTATCAGAAAGATATACTATTCCCTATCTCATATTTCATTTCCCGCTATCAACTTTGACGATACCCAAGGCTTTAGACGTAAAATCGCTACAAATCATGAAGGTTAGAGAACAGGAGAACGATCACTACGTACAAAAGCATAGCCCGCCTGTCCTTGAAAATTGTAGAATACATAGCGGCGCTGACGTCGGTGAGTAGTGACTGCGAAGTTAGCTGTTTATGAGTACTAGTAGATTAAGTTAGATAAATAATGTACAAATTTTCTTCGCGGTATTGGTGAGAAAATTTTCATGCTCCGTAATTTTGTAATTTTTGACAAAAAGAAACATTAAAAAATGGAGAAATATTTTGTGCGTGGATGTGCAAGTGGTTTAGCATCCTGATCGGAAAAATAGACTGAAAATGACTTATTGACCGAACTTAGCGATCGCAGCGCCTCACTTATGGTGTCCATATTTCTGGGACACTATTCTCTACGGTGATCGTTTCCCTGTTCTTTAACGTTCATGCTACAGATAAACCACATACTAGGTGGATTGAAAAGTACTCGGCCTAACACAGATCCATTCAATTCTAAAAATCAAATCTACCCACATTATTTAGTTCAGTTCAGACTAGTTCATTGTGTGAAGTTCGAAACGTGTGCGATAATTAGTTGTGATTTTATAAATTTATTAACAAAGTAATCGGACATAATTTCTGCGAATGGAGCAAATCGAGCAGCGTGCCGTCATTAAATACCTCCATAAGAAGGGGCTATCATCAAAAGCCATCCATGATGACATGGTCAGTACATTAGGCGATTGTGCTCTGTCATATTCATCCGTCAAAAAATGGATAGCAGAATTTAAGCGTGGTAGAGAGAGTGTGAAAGATGAACCCCGCTCTGGAAGGCCTTCGACGTCAACTACTGACGAAAATATTAAAAAAAGTACTTGATTTAATAATGGGAGACCGCAGATTAAAAATTAGAGAGATAGCCGAGATTATAGGCATCTCTTATGAACGAACTCAAAACATCATTGTCAACGAGTTGGGTTTCCACAAGGTGTCTGCGAGGTGGGTTCCGCGACTGCTTTCAGTTGAACAAAAAAGGACGCGATTGACTATTTCACGTGACTGTTTGGAGTTATTTGAAGCCGATGCAGATGATTTTTTGAATCGTTTTGTTACTATGGACGAAACATGGTTTCATTACTGTACACCGGAAACAAAACAACAATCAAAACAGTGGAGAAGACCTGGTTCACCACCCCCTAAAAAGGCTAAGTCGATTTTGTCGGCAAATAAGGTGATGGCTTCAGTATTCTGGGACTCGAAAGGTGTGATTATGATTGATTATCTTGAAAGGGGTCAGACTATAAACTCTGATTACTACTGCACCTTACTACGTCGTTTACGAGAGGAAATAAAAGAAAAACGTCGAGGAATGCTCAGAAGAAAAGTCCTGTTTCATCAAGATAACGCCCGTGTACACACGTCAGTACAGTCAATGGCTGAAATTCACAACTGTGGCTTTGAACTGTTACCGCATCCGCCGTATTCACATGTTCTGGCACCATCAGACTTCTTTCTGTTCCCTAACCTAAAAAAGCACTTGGGAGGTCAAAGATTTTCGACAAACGACGAGGTCAAAGCAGCTGTAGACGCATATTTTGACTCTAAGGAAGAATCATTTTTTTTCAACGGTCTAAATGCTTGGAAGGGGAGGTGGCAAAAGTGTATTGAACTTGATGGTGATTATGTAGAAAAATAAAAATATAACTGATTTAGTATGTGTTTATTTTCTTGGTTAGGCCGAGTACTTTTCAATCCACCCTCGTATTATGATATTAACTCGGAAGTTAGATGCATATTTATATTTTATAATAAATTCTTTAGGTTTTGGCAAAGGCTACATATTTATCAATATAATCACGATGATTGTTGATAAAGTGAAACTTCTTTTCTATTAATAAAAATCTCTCCATCCATTACAACCATAGGCCTCCCCCGTATATTGCCTCTTAGGGGGATTTTGTCATAGTTTCTACGCTTTCCACGCAATTTTTATTATTTTGCGTTGTTATCAGGAAGATGTTGCTGCCCAGCACCTATTATTTTGGTTTCCTTCGGTCATCTCATACGACACCCAAGGGACCATATCGGGTAGTGTGTATTTTTACATCGCGATTAGACAGTTGGCACGGATGCTTTCCGCATTCCTGAATTAATTTCAGAAAAATTCCATACTTGATTTCAACTCATCATTTGAATAAAAATATCTGGGGGTACGGCAGCGCTCTCGCCAAGTCAAGCAAAAAAAGGCACGGCCGTACCATACTTTTCTCGAAGCAATTCAGGCCATTTTCGACCTCCTATAACTTGGTAGTGAATAAAGCTAGAAACCTGAAGTAACCAAGTCGACATTGTTTAAACATGGTATATTTCAAATTTCATTAAATTTGAACAAGTAATTTAAGAGTTATAACTAGTCAAAGTTTTTTAATTTTGTCACTCACTGACTGACCGATCATCATAACTCTAAGGCACTTCTAGCAGACACAGAAGCTTCAAATTTAGAATACAATTAGGGTTCAGTGTAAAAATTAAGGAAAAACTAAAATATGTTTTAATTTCGGTCGTTTTCTAGATAAACTCTAGATAACTGCATAAATAACTTTGTATAAATATATAGAATTACAAATTTACATTTGCAGTGAATGAATCAGTGTACTTGTATATGTATAATAGGTGTAGATAGGTACGTTGTTGGTATTTAAGAAGTAGAAGGTACCGGAAAGTTTTATGTTTTAAATATATATTCACTGTAAAAAGAAATTACCTAAAATTAGTATCGCTTCGGCTTTTGAAGGGAGAAGTTGTGTTGCTTACGATCAGAATACACATTACGCAACAGGACGACGTAAAATTAAAATGGGAAATAACCGTAATAAAAATAAGAAGCGACTGTGTTGGCGTTAAGAAACAGGCATAAATATGATAAACCTAACGAAATAAGTATCTAACGACCTATCTACTTACAGTATTAGTGATTACAAACATGTCGGTACATAGCATACGACGCGCGGGGAATTGGGGGCGATATTAGAATTTCAGCTGACTTACTATATCCCCTTAAGAGTGACAAGAAGGTAAAAATAAACATGATTAGACAAAGTTATATTCATTTAATGTTTTATTGGGCAAAATATGACTTGATTTAACGTTGCTGGGTACTCTTGGCTATCTGTTCCTTCAGCATGAGAATACTGGCGCGTTGTTCCGGCGGCAGTAGAGCTATCTGTTCATCTGATAACTGCAATACTTGCATTATCAAGGCGGCCTGAAATAGAACATGAAAATAACACTTTAAAACACATTTTCTGTTGTGTAAGACAATAGCAATGACCTATATGTAATATACGGGACAGCGAAAGGATTAAAAGACATTTTTTAAACGGAAAATGTGGGCAAAAATTATTTTTAAATAACCAATTTAGTTTGATCTGTCGGTTAAGATCATTAATGAGGTTTTCTAATATTACTTATACTCGGACGGTTAACAACAGTTTTGTCGTAAAACCAATTAAGTACTACATCTTACACCAAACACGAACACTATTCAGTAACAAAATCATACCTCAACTAACCTGTTAACTCTGCTACTTTGTAAGGAATAGATATGTGCTGTTTATACTAGATATAAGATATTTGTAAAGCAGTGTTTTGGTAGGGGTTGAATTGAATAATTTTAGTTTTATTAGGGTTGAGTTTTAAAGCAGATAATTGTAGCCGTCAGTAATTTAATATAACGTATTGTTCAATTTTGTAGTTAAATATGCGGAATTAGTGGAGATTAAGATGGAGATGTCATCGGCAAAGAGCACACATATATCGTCCAGTATGTTTGGGAGATTATTTAGGTATATAAACAAGAAACAAAAATACATCCCAAAACGCTACCTTGTGGGATAGAGCGAGTAATGACAGTTGCATCTGATCTGACATGAGTAATTTTGCCTGTCTCGAAGTCGGTATTTTCAATTTTTACATGTTGGAAGCGGTTATCAAGATAGAGTTTGAACTAGAGATGTTAAGGAGGTTCGATTCTGATTCCGAAAGTTCGGAACTTCCGATTGATTATGCACCTTCAATTCCGATAAATTTTAATTGGAAGTTATATCGGAGGTCGAAGCACAGCGGCGGTGGAGGCCGCTATCAGCGCTAACGTCTTAGTTTAAATCTTGTTTAAACTAGTCGCTCGGGGAACCTCTATGAAATCAATGCTTTCCAAAATCTTCCCTTCAATTTCGTGGAAGGTATTGGATATCATAGTGCTGGATTGTCAGGTAAGGCGAAGACAGTTTTTTACAGAGTATATTTGTGATTAATTTTATTTTATTAGACGTGCCTTTAATACATACCTATCTTTTCTGCCTACACTTCCGTTTCCGGTTGCGACAAACCAAGTTTGAAAACTCTGTTTCCGAATTCGGTTCGGATACAAACACGTCCGTAACATCCCTAGTTTAAACCAATTGTGAGCTACTCCCTTAATTCCTGTTTGGTATATTTTATTCAATAGAGTTCTATAACAGACTCTGTCTGTCTATGTATATTTTATCAGGCGGTAGAGTTGTCTTTTCTAGCCATTTTGATTTTCATGTAAAATTTTCAATAAAATGATCAAACACGTTTCGTTATAGCCCCTTTACATATTTTAGCTGACGTAGGTAACAAACCTTATAGGTCGATAAGTATTTACGTCAGTAGGTTCGTCCATTTTGTAAAAAGGTTTGACTAGGAATATTTCGAGAGCACCTGGGAAGATACCTTCTGAAAAAGATTGGTTTACCAATAGGGGATTATTAACAAATCAGCACAACTTTTAATCAAAATAGGAGTAATTTCACGAATGCTAAGGGATGATTTAGTTTTGAGATTTTTTATTATTGTATTCATTTTATTAGTTTCACACTAGCAAAAAAAATGTGAAAAAGAAAATGGTAAGTAGGTAATTTATTCGAGTTTCAAAGACGTTCACGTTGTTATAATCTTAAATTTTCTAGATGTTGCATATTTACTTTCCTCACATTGAACACTAATGTTCCTATTATCAGCAAATTACTAGTACATTACATACATTGCATAACTCCTTTGTGTATTCTAATACCAACTAATATCAAAGGATTCAATATGTTTTCTCACAACACCTAAGCCCACAGTAGGAGCGGCTTTAATAAAGACGCGTAACGGGCTAAGTGATACGGACACTCGCACGCGGACGTAGCATTGGCCACGCTAGAGCGACTGCGGGGACCGGAGGCGACCTGCCGCTGTAGTATACCACGTTGAGGCGGATGCATGACATATGGTTTCTTTCGGATATTTTTACGCGGGCTAAAAATTAAGGTTTTCTAAATTGGCACTTTCGTGTCTAGAAAGGAGTAGTTTTATTGCACAATGCGAATAGTTTTAAGGCACAATACGAATTAAAATAGGAGTTCATGATTTTAACTAAAATAGGCATCAGTTTTGTGAATATCGTAGACTTTATGATGAAATACGTCAATACCCACAAAAGTTTTGAGAAATATAATATTATGCTTATAATTTTCATTTATTTATTTATTTAAAAAAAACAACAACAGCGATTTAACAATTTTAAGGACTTAAAGTATACAGCTTAAATGTAAGGCCTATTAAAGGTTTTTTCAGTTATATAAACAAAATATGTTATGGACGGTACAATTTAACTATTCTTTGGATTTATTATAATATGTATGTACTAATCCAATTATAAATACATATAATATATATATATATATATATATATATATATGTTCACAGATATGTAACTAAATGTTTATACTAATTACACTTTTGTATATGTGTATGTAGAAGTAATATTTGTTTTATTTATTTCTCTGCAAAACTTTTACATGCAGCCAGTGCAGAACATTCTTTTATGTAATTTAATTTAATAAAATATGAAATATCACACCTGTTTATTTGTTTATTTTTCTAAACCGTTACACTTATGTCAGATTTACACCCAACAATCAAGTAAGAAATGATTATACTAAATGATGCAAAGTATGAATTAATTTTCATATTATAATAGAGTTGATTTATGTTTATTACTATTTATTTATTTTTGTGTAGGGAGTCCTACTAGATGGAGTAACGACCTGGTAAGACATATAGGAAGTCGACGGACGCATGCGGCTCAGAATCGTGCCTTGTGGCATTCCCTGGGGGAGGTCCACGTTCAGCAGTGGACTTATGAAGGGATGTAATGATGATCATCATGATTAAGCAAATCAAAATGATTTACTCGTTTTGCACCTCATTTAGAATTTTAAGAGCTTTAGCTTTAAAGGCTGGTTTACTAAAAACAAAGAGATCTATATCACTAAAGATCTCATTGTATGTCCTGAGCATTCGGTTTATAGGCGCATTACGTGCATAATTGGTGCCAGCAAACGGCACATGCAATAAATGGTGCGGCCGACGGCGGACACGACGCGACGGTACTTTGTATGTTATGCTCGCCACCAACTCAGGGCCTATACCTGTCCACGGACAATATCATACAAAAAACATACGTCCATTAATTTACGTCTGTTTACGAGTGTCAATAAATTATAAGATTGACAAGTATTTTCATAGGTTACAAGTTGTGATTTGAAAAAACGATAATTTAGATAATTGATGAATTTTTCCTGTATGCGTTCTATACGATTTTTATAAGTAGCGTATTGGGGAGACCAAATTGGACTGGCATATTCTAATATACTGCGAACATAAGCATTATACATAATTTTAAGGGTATTAATATCTTTAAAAGGCTTGCAAGTTCTCATCACAAATCCAAGATTTTTAAAAGCCTTGTTAACAATTTCGTCAATATGCTCTGATAAAAGCATTTTATTGTCGAAATGAACTCCTAAATCTCTAACAGTAGATGTTCTTTGTATTGGAATACCGTTAAAATTGTAGGAGAATGAAATAGGGTTTTTTTTACGTGTGAAGCTAATACATTCGCATTTATCAATATTAATTGTTATGTTGTTAGCAGTATAATAAGCTGATAAAGCGGTTAAATCAGTTTGCATTTGATGACAGTCCTGCTCAGTACGGATATTGTAAAATTTTTTTTTGTCATCAGCGTACATTAAATGTTGTGAAAACTTAAAACAAGTAGTAATATCGTGAATATAAGCGTTATACAGTAAAGGCCCCAGATGTGATCCTTGAGGAATGCCTGTTGGTATTTTGATAAAGTCCGATATATAGCCACCTATTACAACAGCCTGGGATCTGTTACTCAAATAGGATTTTATCCACCTCAGTAAATCTCCATGTATGCCTAACAATTGTAGTTTATTCAGTAAAATGACATGGTCCACACGGCCGAAAGCTTTTTCGAAGTCCGTGTAGACCACGTCTACCTGACCGCCTCCATCCATATTAGACAAAACATAGTTAGAAAAGCACCCCAGATTAGTGATAGTAGAACGATACCTTAGAAATAGGTGTTTCTCACTCGACAATTTGGAAAATTCTACACATTGATCGTCAACATCCGTATAATTTTCAGCCGGTTCAAGAGTTAAATGAAAACGACCACATACTGCGGGTGGTATTTTCGCAATGGCTTATTCAAAACTTTGATAACGTTTCCATTTTATTTACGGACGAAGCAGTGTTTACAAGGTCGGGCATTTACAATGTTCGTAATGAACATTACTGGAGTCGGATAAACGAACACCGAAAACGGAAAAACAGTTATCAGCACCGTTTTTCCGTAAACGTGTGGGCGGGAATTCTAAACGGCAAACTTCTTGGACTCTATTTTATTGACGGCCACTTGAATGCACAGTCGTACATGGCTATTTTACGACATGTATTCGAGAGGATGTTGGAAAATGTGCCTCTTCGTTCACTCAGAAACCTCTACTACCAACATGACGGTGCCCCTGCACATTTTCAGCTGCAAATCAGGGCTATGCTGGATGAAGAGTTTCCTGGGCGATGGATAGGACGTGGAGAGTCAGTGGCGTGGCCAGCACGTTCGCCCGATCTTACCCCGCTGGACTTTTATCTTTGGGGAGAAGTGAAGCGCCGAGTGTATGCAACTAAGTTCCGTAATACGTCGGAACTCAAAAGGCGAATTCTTAGTGTGTTTCGAGACTTAAAAAATGACACTGTTGTGCTTCCTAGAGTGCGTAACAATCTACGGAAACGTGCGGAGGCATGCGTGGCTGTAAATGGATCCCATTTTGAACAGCTTTTACGATTAATGTAAAAGCTGATCTAAATGGGATTCATTTACGAGGATTTTATTTAATAGGTAAGTGTAAATAATCAATCAATCAGGCTACACATCAAGCTAAAAAAACCAGCTTGTCTTGGCCTCGATTTGTATGATCTTTCCGTACAATGAACGGTCAGCTTATGCTTCAAATGCCCTTTGCGTTCCAGGGACGCGGTATCCTGCTAAGACAGTCCCGGGACCTGGGTCCTTGATTTGACGGAGAGCTACCCATTGGTTTTGCATAGCTTATTGTGTAGCCGTGTGTGCATAACATTATGATTAACCTTTTAAATACGCCAAAAATCCTACCTAATGATTTACTATTATTAATATTTAATTTTCTTTGTTGTTAAATCTAACTTACATTAATTTGGACTCGTCACGCAACACAAAGGGTAGGAATTTTTGACTGTCCTAAGCCAGTGTGAAAGTATGAAGGAAAAGTTACATCATAGGTTATGTGTACCATTGTGTTTTTATTGAAATGTTGTGTAGGTATCAAGGGCGGGCGGTGATCTTTACAGTGATTACGTCACTTGGGCGCATAGGGTATCTATGAATTTACGGACGGTGTCGGACAGAAACTATTTTAATTTTATGAAAGAAAATAAGGTGATGGTTTCAGTGACAACGGTGTTTACACTTACACACTGTATATATTATATATATATATATATATATATATATATATATATATATATTCGATTAAAATATATGTATATTTTTACAAAATATTATTTTCCAGTATTATCGAAAATATATATATATATTTTCGTAAATAATATTCGCTCACACTTAAATAAGTCGATTTTTTTTAAATTAGTTATACGCTAGTAATTGACCACGATCCTGGTTAATAATGAGGGGTAAGCGGATTTTGTCAAACATTACCTGAATATACTAGTATTAATCATACTTTTTGTAAATAGAACGTGAAAACATTTCTTTTATTTTCCGTCGTAATTTTCATTTTATCATCGTAAAAAGAATACCAAAAAGTCCCAAGTATTTATTCCAGATATATATAATCTATTTGTATACCAAAATTTTATCCATTTACATTCATTACAATATGAAAGGTTGTAAAAAATATTTACAAAATTTATTTTAGAAACTGCTTGGAAGCGGCCACCTTATTCCACTGTTTATAATCAGCCATATATTCATTTATATTATAATGACACTTTTTATACAGTTTTTTTAAATAAAATATTTAAACTTGGTAATAGAGAGACCTTGTATATTTTCTGGGACTTTGTTGTAATAGCGTGTATGTTGACCCAAGAATGAATTACGGACTTTATGGATTTGGGAAACTGGTACCACTAGCTTTTGTTTGTTCCTAGCATTTACAGAGTGTAAACCACTTTTTTACTAAAACTACCTTTGGTTTTGTAAACATACATTAATTTTTCGGAAATATACTGACAGGCCAAAGTTATTATATATTTTTACTTAGTTATATATTTTTTTCTTTTTTTTTGTAGTTATTTATTTCTATAAAATTTTCTCTAAGACTCGGTTTTTAAATTATATTTAATAGTATATTGTAAATAGCCCTTATGGCCCTCTTCTGCAAAACAAAAATAGTTTCTAAATCTACCGCATTTCATAATATCAAAATCCCATAAGACATTATGCTATGAAAATTACTGAAATAAACTTATCTAGCTGTCTCGACACTAGTAAGACCTCTAATCTTTTATATAGCATAAGTTGCAGAGCTTAGTCTGCTTGTTAGTTTGGATATATGGGGAAGCGAGATTGATCGCGATTGATGCTAAGAAAAATAATGGATTCAACAAGGCTCAGTTCTTCTTCATTTAAAAACACATTGGTATTCAGATTTTTAACATTCGGTGTTGTAAATTTAATAAATTTAGTTTCATAGCTATTTAAATGTAGATTATTAACGCTAAACCAATTCACAAATTTTGATATAACATTATTAATTCATAATATTAAAAATGATTGACGTTTAAGTTTAAAAATTAAGGAAGTATCATCAGTAAATAATACCATATCATGATTATCCTACAAGGGAAGGTAAGTCATTAATATACACTAGAAATAGAAATGGGCCGAGAATTGAGCCTTAAGGTACACTCATTAGTACAGGTGACCCGGTATAACTTTTCGACGATTTTCGGCGACAGTAAGAGAAGAATTTAATTCTTTTTGTTGTCAAAAAAGGAATATCAGTAAAATGTTTCTCAAAATCCATACCAACTTCTCGATCAGATTGAGTTAAACTATTTTTAATACTCCACATCATTTTAGTTTTATTGGATGCAGTTTTACTTTTGTTGCTTCGATGTAAAGCCTTAGCCGTGGGGCACACTTTTTTTAAATTTTTAGCATATGTTTCTACATACTCTCCAAATATAGGATTATAAAGCTCGTATAATCTTCGCCTACTTTTATAACTCAAAGATTTTAAGGAGAAAGTTTTAGAAGTAAATATTCTACTAAATTAACAACTTATAATAAATCATAATATAATAACAACTTATAATTTTAAATAACGCACTATACAAATAATCAGCACAATTTTTAAATGAAAGTGATGGACGTAGTTTGACTATATTACTTTTAAACCTCTCCAAACGATATTCATTTATTGGAACAAACACAACTTTCTCATTTTTCTATTTTTTGTTTATGTAAGGCAATGAAGCCAACTGTTCACAGGGATTCGAAATTAAATTTTGAATAATTGATTTATGCAAGGGCTTAACTCTGTAAACATGTCATCTATACAGGTCGTACTAGGCCCAGAAAAACGTATTGGTTCTAAGAATAAATTAACAAGATAAATTAACTTAATACTTATGGAAGAAGACTCAAGGAGACTGATGTTAAAGTCTCCACATATTACAACAGACTTCTTGTGTTTACTAAGTTTGAGCAAAACTTCTTCCACAATCTTTTCAAAATATGTATGTAGCATGTGGAGGTCTGTAAAAACTTACAGCAACGGGGCGGATTTTACCATTTATGTCTTATAAGTTATAAACATTTTTAGGTTTTTTTGAAAATGAAAGAAAAATAAATAAAAAGAAATCAATTGAATTGCATAAAGTATTCAATAAACTAAACTACGAAGTAGTTAAAAATAACTAAACCTAAGTTTAGCGAACTACTCTAATTTTATTATTTACACAAGATTATTCGTAACACATACGCAACATTATTACGATTATCACTTACTTTCTCTTGATCTGAAGCACCAGAAGGTATCCCTTGTATTGTTCTAGCCTGGGCGACGCTTGGCATTCCAGGTGGCATTTGTTCTTAAAATAAAGAAAGTTAGTTTATGCTTTGTTTTAGTACTTATTATGGCAACAGATGGAACTAGAAATATCAATTATATATAAGTTATTACTAATATATTGTAAAGTTATCTCTATACTATTAAATTGTTAATTTATTATTATATTGTTAATTCTAACACACACACAGTGCTGTTATTTTACTGTTACATTGTAAAATAACAGCACTGTGTGTGTGTTAGGGCGGGTTGATTAAAATAGTTGCTTGAAGTAACATATGTATGTCAAATAATATCAATTATTTTATTTATTTAATGCAATGGGTTCTTTTATTGCATAAAATTATTTAAGAATTAAATGACGTAACAATTATGAGATTTTTAATACACAAAGGGTTCTTTTATTGCATAAAATTAATTAAGAATTAAATGACGTAGACCAGTGTATTTTAATTATACATGAGCGTTAAGAAGAGTTAAAACAACCCACCCTAAGTAAATCAACTCTGAGCATGGGCAAGTCTTCCTCAACCAATAGAAGTGGTTCGTATCCAGCAGTCAAGGGTTATGGCATAGACTAATGATAAAAAGCTAACCAAAATCATTGTAGGGATTTTTTTTTTCAAATTTAAAAATGATGACAATATGGCTTAAGAGTTCAATTCCTACACGAGACAAGTATTATTATATCCTACAAATAAATGTTTCAGTTTTACAATTTATACATATAGAACATCTCTGTAGTACGGGAGAAGTTTCTAGTGTGTGGTATTTTTTAATTAAAAATATTTAGTTACGTCACAAATAAAGATAAAGCAATTAGTATTATAAACCTGGAGGTACTACTTACCTCCCTAAAAAGCATAACATTTAATGTCGATTATATATTTAAAAAACTATGTAAACATGTGGTAGGTCAACAAGTTCTACTTGTGATAACTTACGCTGTGGTATCTTGGCTTGAGTACGCGGATCGTTCGGACGAACTCGGGGGTCCGAGTTGAACCCTTGAGCGTTCGCAAGGCGAGGATCTCGCGGGAAGATACTGTAAGTGTAACATAATATTTGTTTTATAATTATTTAGAAAATACACAAACTGTAAAAATGATCTGGAATATGATCAACTAATTATAACGACAAAAACTAGCACATATTATTAACAGTAATATTTCACATTTTATATTCAAATTAAAATTTCAACATCTTTACAAAATCAAAACGTTAACATATTATTAAAATAATAAAATTAAAAATAATTAAAATGGAAGACAACATTTACAAGAAATCAGTAAAAAATATTACTTTTAGAATAAAAAAAAATACGAACTTAAAACAATAAAATAAAAATTTCTAGGAGCTATTTTCACTGTTTAACTTACGTATCACGCGTTTCCGTAGACATGGCAGAACTTGAAAAATATAATTCTATTCAAAATTTAAAGAATTACAATAAAAATAATCCTTTACCTATTCATAATTATTAATTATCCAAAACTTTATATTTGATTTAACTTTTTATAAAAATGCTAACTTATTATCTATGCTTCTTAATTTACTAATATATTTATTTAATATACACATAAATAGGAACTGAAGTGTCTATGTCTAATATCATATATATATATATATATGTCAATAGATATTCGATCGTAATCGTAATCTATTAATCCCTAATATCTATTAGGCTCTGGGAGTTATATGAATGCTATAAGACACTTTATTTAAAAAAAAATCCCTGTCTGTCTGTCTGGACTAATCTTTGCAACGGCTGAACCCATGGAGGTTAGAAAACAGGAGAACGATCGCTACGTACTAAGGCATAGCCCGCCTGTCCTAGACAATTGTAGAATTTATAGCGGCGCTGACGTCGGTGAGTAGTGACTGCGAAGTTAGCTGTTTATGAGTACTAGTAAATTAAGTCAGATAAATAATGTACTAATTTTCTTCGCGGCATTGGTAGGAAAATTTTCATGCTCCGTAATTTTGTAATTTTTGACAAAAAGAAACATTAAAAAATGGAGAAATTTTTATTGTGCGTGGATGTGCAAGTGGTTTACCATCTGATCGAAAAAATAGATTGAAAATGACTTTTATTGACCGAACTTAACGATCGCAGCGCCTCACTTATGGTGTCCATATTTCTGGGACACTATTTTCTACGGCGATCGTTCTCCTGTTCTCTAACCTCCATGGCTGAACCTATAGTTGACACACGCACATGCTCGCATGTACATACACACATCATTTGAAAAACTTAGACAATGAAAACAACACATTGAAATTCGGAGATGTACAATGCATAAAATTTTGGACTATCGGAAATTGGGATATCTCACAATTAAGTTTGTGTGCAAAATATATTAACCTTAACCTGACATGTGAGTTATATCCATTCCACCGGTACATTGCACTACTTTTAATCTCCAATTTGGTTCCAGTTTGACTGGTTGTTACTGTCGGCATTTTGTGTCATTATGAGTTTAGAAATTATAGAACTTGATAAATATACAAAAACGAAACTAGTTTGAATTTTACAAGGCTGCCAATCGTGCAACGTCATTAAGAGCATCCATGACTTTTCTGACATCAGGGCGGCGCCACTAATGAGGTGAAATATTTGACAGATTTCATAGCGGAGAAGTTAATTTGTTAAGAAAATGTAACGGTTAATGTTTCTTTCTGTAGTATGCGTTATATTTTATATTAATTAAATGAAAATTAAATGAAACTACATTAAATCAAGCTACGAATATTCCTAAGAATAGAAAATTAAAAAAAGCCTTAAAAACAAAATCAGGGTGTGGTTGTGTCGTGAACGCGCCCGTGTGTTTTACATTTACATAGCGTCAAAATTTATACTAAACGGAAACATTGACATATATATTACTAGCGTAAGGACCGGGCCGACCGAATAACTAAAACGGACCAGTGCGTTGGCCCTAAAATTACAGTTTAGGGCCAACGCGAATCGGTCGTCAGTGGTGCACGCTCAGGACAGATTTGCCTGTCACAAATATGCCTAGTTGCGTGGTAAAAGGATGCAAAAATTACGATACAAAGATTAAAAAGGAACATGAGATATCGTATCATCGGTAAATAACCTTATATTAATTTTGTTACAATAAAATTATTATATAAACGCATTTTAAAGTTTTATTTTACTGTTAGTCAGTTTAGTTACGTTACCAAGATTAGGCCAGGGGTGAATTCAGAACCTCAAAATATTGTACAAATTATACTATTTGTCAAAAATTATATCATGTTTGTTGTTTCATATTTCTTTTTTCATGCGCCGGGGTTTTGACGTCATACGTCTAGTTTATCTATACCAAAACGTATAGATAAACTAGACTTTTTTGACGATTTTATTTTTATTTCTGTTTTATTTTTGGCTAAAGAACTTAGTGTAAGCTAAATTTTGAATATAGGTACCCAATATATTTTATATTCAATAAGAGCAAAACGAAAAAAGTACAAAAGAAACTATACCTACTTGATTGAAACTGAAAATATGATTCATAAAATATTTTGAAAATCTGTTTTCAACTCGATTGCTTCTGGAGCATAGTTTTTATCGTGTTAGCCCCACATTATAGTTGTATCAAGGATACAATATAAATGCATCGATCGAGCACTGATTGACCAGAAAGGAAGCTAATCCTAATTTTATAAAAAAAAAAACACGCGGTACTCACGTTCAATACAGAAATTCTCGATATTGTAGGGTTAATATTAAAATGTAAAAGGACCCAATAATAATACAAGTCGGTCAATCTTAAGGTAAAATTATGGTAATTTCGTTTAGTATTATGACGACACTACGTACACACTATGAAATAATGGTACACATACGATAATTATGTGACGAAATCCGACCCTGGTTACTTCGTGTTATGACGTTTGAGTATAATGACAAATGCGCTACTTTTTCTTGTATGAAGAAGTTAGGAGTAAAATATTTAGATGGGCGTATCCTTATTTTTAAAATCATTGAACGGAAATTGTGACGCAGCAAAAGACCTTAAAATGGCCGGGCTATCACACCGCCGCGGGCCATGCTTATAGTCCTCACACAACGTAACAAATTCTTTGATCCTTTAGCTATCTAGTAGTGCAATTCAATTTTAGATGTAGATGATAGATATGTAACGGCAACACGTAAATCTATCTCCCTATTTTAATCGACTTTAAAAAAGGAGATTCTCAATTCGACTGTATTTTTTAAAGTGTGTTACCACAGAACTTTTTTGGAGATTAATAGATTTTAACGATTCTTTTTTTATTTGAAAGCTGGGGCTTCTTATATGGTCCCAAATAAATTTAATCAAGATCTGACCAGTAGTTTTTGAGTTGCGTATTTAACTATTTTCGATTACATGTTCCCATATTATTTATATTGAAGTCGGCTGTACAAAATTTGTTACAAATCCCATGAGCAACTACAACACCAGGGGAATTGCAGATGTTTGTGTTGCTGACCTTTTAAAAAGGAGTAGGCTCTTTTTTTGAAGGTCCCTAAGTCGTTCCACAAGGAAGTTGTGCAAGGAAGAAAACTTCTTTTAAATCGGACGGTGGTGGACCGCCAGTCATTCAGATCATGGAATACTACAATTACACGATAGAATGGCTGTCAACCTTATTTTGTACGAGAGTCGGCGTTGCCCGGAGCACACATATAAGCAATTACGTCGTATTATCATTAGTACAAATCCGATTCGCTGTGTTGACAGACAAAGTAAATTGAAACATTTTAGACTTTTGATTAATGTTCAAGATCATCATTAAAAATCGTTTAAATTTTAACACATATTTAATTTCCTCTTTGCCTCATGGTGCGAAAACTAGGTGGTGGTATATTTTACGGCGCTACCACACGGCGACCAAATTGTCGATATATTATAAATGGGCCAAATTAAGAGTATCCTTAACCGACGAGCATGTATGCGTAGGTATATGGATGTGGAAGAGGCGAGAGATGTATGTCAGGATCGTGCTAAATGGAAGTCTGTAGTCTTTGCCTACCCCTCTGGGCGACAGGCGTGATTGTTTATGTTATTTGTAAATAGCGTGCAATTTGGCATTTTCTAAATAACTTGCATGAGAAATTTGGAAACGATTGTAATGTCAAAACACATCTCATGTTGACAGTTTTACGTGTGAATTGACACGTTAGTGACATTTTAGTGGCTACACGGGTTCCGCCCATTCTCTCGTTCTATTATGTATGTATTATAGTATTCTATGATCCAGATGGTATCGCGAGTTTTGTCGCGATGTGCGATGGTGAAATTACGCGGCTGGAATTAGTTCGAACAATTCCTCAGAGCACTCCCCGTAATAGATGCGATAAAATACGCAAAGAGATGCAACATCTCTTCGCAGTGCCAGTGAGTCAAGCCGATCGGAAATCAGAAAGCTCGGTCGCCGACGATTCGAGCAGCTCTGCGCTGGATGCCATCAAATGGAAGGAGCTGGCACTGGAGAGCCCCGGCCCAGAGATGGGAACAGTATTCCATGTGCTGCCGAACCTGTGCCTTGTAAAGTTGCAGGTGGTGAGCCGGCATGAAATACTGTCCCGCTGTGCTGAGCACGCCAAGCTTTTTAGAGGCCAATTTGGCCTTCTCTTCCAAGTGGCCAGGAAACTGCACGTCACTGGATATGTCGACGCCGAGGACTTCAATACTGGCTGAGGCAACAAAAGGTAAAAGCGCAAACTTGTGTCTTCTGGGGATTAAAATGGACTAGATTTAGTCACCCCCAGTCCGAGACTTTGTTCAACAAAGTTTCGACTTCAGACACAAGTTTGTCCCGGTACTCAGCGACGTTTTCCCGAGAAATATTGGCACGGCCGGTGTATAAAGCATCATCACTGCTGTCGTCTGCAGAGCAATGAATGTTACCGATTTGCAACATATCATTGATATGTAGAAGAAACAGCGTTGGTGATAGCACGCAGCCTTGTGGAACTCCAGCGTTAAAGGGCTTGTAATCAGAGCATGCATCATCTACTACGACCTTGATGCTCCGATCAGCCAGAAAACCAGAAAACGGTGATCCAATTGCACAATTTCTCGGGAAGCCCATAGGAAGGAAGCTTCGTAAGAAGCGCTTAGTGTCAAACCCGATCGAAGGCCTCCGCTATGTCCAAACTAACGGCCAACGCCTCCCCCTTGGACTTTACTGCCTCCGCCCATTTATGAGTTAGGTAACCCAGAAGATCACCAGCCGAGCGACCGCGATGGAAACCGTACTGGCGGTCACTAATCAGCTCGTGATCTGCAAGGTACCGCATAAGCTGGCTGTTAGTAATGGATTCCATTATTTTAGAGAACAATGAGGTGATGGCGATAGGCCTATAGTTGGACGGATCAGAGCGGTTACCTTTTTTAGGTATCAGGTGCATGAGGGATGTCTTCCATGATTTCTGGACTACGCCGAAGGAATGAGTAGGAAGGAGTAGGAGTACCGGAAAAAACACGTTAAAATCGGTGCCAACTCCCACTCCAAATGCCATCCGTCCCACTCGACTTGTTGACGTCCAGGGAGAGGAGTGCTCTGCGCATTGAGCGTTGGGTAAACAAGACATCCTGCATGGAGCACTCACTCCGCGGGATGGTCGGCGGTGTGTTCCCCCCGTCATCAAGAGTTGAGTTGGACGCAAAGAGAGAGCCCAGCATATCGACTTTGCCCTTTGCGGCCAAAGAGTGACATAGGATGGACAGACAGACAGACAGAGACATGGGCCAGTGAGTCGTCCTCCCTGTGCAGAGGTGGGAGAGTAGGCTGACAGAAGTTCCCTTGGACAGCCTTGACAAGAGACCGGAATGCACGTGTTCCCGAAGGAAGACTAACTAGTTTCTCGCCAATTCTGCCGACGTGCTCCAACTTTGCCTTGACACTTACACTTACACTTTTGAACGACCTGGAGGCAGAATTGTACTTCTTTTTAAGGGCGCTGGTATTTGCATTCCGAGACGTCGATGCGCGAGCCCAGGCCTGGTAGCACTCCTGCTTATGACGTAGTGCGATATTGCAGGAGCGAGCAAAGCAAGGCTGGGTTCTGCCTCCGATAGGTACCACAGATGATGTAATAAATAGTTCCATTCCCTGTAGCACCACATCAGCGACAGAATCAGCTACAACGCTGGGATCATCCAGCGAGAAGCAAACCCGCCCCCAAGGGTAGGATACAAAAAAAGATCGCATCCCGTCCCAGTCTGCAGACCTATAATGCCAAACACGACGGCATCATGCAGTACGCAACCGCGATGAGAGCGTGAGTGGCATCGTATTACGGATCAGACAATGGTCCGAGGAGCCAAGAGGGGCATCGACGGTCCGTATGAGAGGTCAGCAGAAGGTCCAACAGGGAAGGTACATGATCTTCCACATCTGGGATCGGCGTAGGCGAGGTAACCAGTTGTGACAGATCATATGCCAAAGCAAAGTCATAAACAGATCTATCCGCATGATCGGTTAAACGAGAACCAAGCCATTCAGTGTGGTGGGCGTTAAAATCTCCAAGTATCACGATCTCTGTGGATGGGATCTGTTGAAGCACAGAGTCTGTAGCCATCTGGCCGTGTCGATGAGTCGGTCTGTTTTGGCATTACCACTATGGGACCTATAGAGGCACCCGAAGACGCGGGGATGGTCATTGCTGTTAATGGGCAGCCATAATATGGACAGGCCCGAACCTTCAAGGCTGCAGAGGCGTCGAAAACAGATGTCCTCTCTGATATACACGCAAACTCCAGCCCGCGGTTCAAAATATGTTCTAATTTGTACCCCGGGCAGGAGAGATGCGAAGGATCAGCTGGAGAGGACACCTGTGTCTCGGTTAGAAAGAGCAAGGTCGGCTTCGCCGTTTCCATATGGTAGTGGACGGCGTTAAGGTTTGAATGAAGTCCCCTGATGTTGCAGAAACTCACGGATAGCGTGGCAGGGGGCGCCTTTGACTTATTGCTCCGTTTGTCCCGAGCAGGTTTAGTCTCGAGCGGAATTTTGCCCCCCCCCCCCCAGAATACGCAGGGCAGCCTGAGCACCCACGCTCAGGAATGGATTAGCTTTGTCGTGGATGCTCAGCGAGGGATTCTCCAGGGGTGCTGGTACCCTCCTAGGGTAGTCTTGCATTTAATTCCGCTACCATGTTGATGGGGGAGGGGGGGATTGAGCCTCCGGCCACCTGCACTCACCAGACGAAACGCAAGAAGCAAAGCCTCTACTTCACGCTGGTCGTCACGCTGTGAGGTCGTGGTACCACCCCGATTTGAGCCGGCCCATGCGTTCAACAGCAAAGGCTGCCGCGTGGCTCTACCACTGTTATTATTTATATTGCTTTCCACTTGGAAACAAATTTGAAGACTTATTCACGTCAAAATTGTGCATAAAACAAAAATAAAAACCAACGAGGCAGTAATGCCTCGTTGTTTTTCTTATTAGTTTTATGTTCTTTATGTTCTTTTCAATTTTCGTCATCTATTACTCAATTATATTTATTACTCGAGAAACTATATTTTTATTTAAAACTAACTTCTCAAATAAATGACATTATGTGAGACTTACGCTCACATCATTAGCCCTCATTAATATAGAATGTAACTAATATTTCAGAAACATTAATTTCTACCATTTTTCTAACAAATTAACTTCTCTGCTATGAAATCTGTCAAATATTTCACTTCATTCCTAAGTATCACATTGGTGGCAGAACAGTCATGGATACCATTGTCTACGTCAAATAAAGTTGAACGGAGAACATAATTGTCAGTTGGTGAGCACACACCCGTCCTGTGCGGCGGGCGGGGGCACGGGGTGCGGCGCGGGCGGCAGGCTGCGCATGTCCTGGTCCAGCAGCGGCGGCGGCACGGGCGCGCGCGCGCTGCGCAGATCAACGTCCGCCATCGCCGGCCGCGCTGTCGCCACAAAATTACGTGTTCTTACTCGCTACTTCGCTGCTAATGCACCCCTGGTACGATTCCCGCGAAACTTAACATTGACTTAAAAAGGAAAGATTCCACATCCACCATCGCCAGCCGCGCTGTGGGTGGGCATACCAATATTAACTGTTACCAACTCCAAAAAATATTTACGAGGGTTACACTGAAAGTTCTTAGAAAATCATAAACTGAACAAACTAGCAAGTTATTAGTTTTTTATATCTTTTCAAAATAGTGTCCATTTACCACCACTGTGAAAACATTTTGCCCACTCGTCCATAGGTTCTCCACTCTTCGACGGCATTTTAAAACGCAGCTACTGCTTCCTCTGCGTCCATAAAACGTTTTCCTCGAAGTTTTTCTTTTATTTTCGATTATAAATAAAAATTGCAAGGTGCGAGGTTTGGGCTATAGAGCGGGTGACCCAGTAATTCCACGTCTGACGTCGCCAAGAAGTCGATTGTTTGCTTGGCGGTGTGCAACGAAGCGTTGTCGTGGTGAAGGAGAAGCCTACTGCGAGATCGTTTCTCCTGAACTTTTTCCAACAATCTGTTTGCCATTGTTGCCACGCTTGGCGAGCGGGTTTGCAACCGCAGTTTTTTTTTGTAGTTGTTGTTATCAGGAAGATGCTACTGCCCATCTCCTACCTGCCTCCCTCTGTCGCCTCGTAACATATTTCAAATTAAAACCAACAAGGAACATATTCTATCTTGATTTCCAGCTGGCATGACGGTAATTATAGAATGGATAAAAGGAATATGTTAGATGTTAGAATTACAAGTAAACCTATTTTGTATAATCGAATATATGTTAAATGTGTCAGAAACTGATAACCTAAAAGTAGACTGCGGTAAGTGGCACAGCACCCCAGAGGAACAGCAATCAATTCCAAACAATGGCCACAGATATTCACCTCTGAGGTAATAACCTCGCAATCAGTAATTATAAATGTATAAGTGGCAATAGTAGTGCTAAATATGTAGTACTTACGGACATATTGATTGGGTGGTGGAACAGGGTTGCTTAGCAGTGGTGGTGGACCTGAAATTGAAGTAATGAAAATAAAATAATTATTAAAAAGAAATACTATAATGAATTTGAAAATGAATGAAGCCGTGGTAGCTCAGATGGTTAACGCTCGCTGTAAATATAACAGAATGCGAGTAACCCGGGTTCGATCCCCACCAATGAAATTGTTAATAGCAATTTTAAGTGCTGATTTACTACATGCTCGGCGGTGAAGGAAAACATCATGAGGAAACCTGCATGTCTGAGGAATAAGAAAAAAAAATAATTCGAAGACATGTGAAGTTCGCCAACACGCATTGGGGCAGCGCGGCGAACACTTCCTTACCCTAAAAACCCTCTCAGAAATGAGGGGAGGCCTGTGCTCAGCAGTGCGACGTATATAGGCTGTAACTTTACTATAATTAATTTATATGGTTAATGGAGTTCAAGCAGATTTTAAATGTATAAATACCTTATTTTGAACTCCATTATAAACTATTAAACAACATAAAAACACGTACATAAGTTATTAAAAGTGAAGCATGTCATTGTGTATATCTTAAAACAGCTTTAGATCAATAAGTAAAATAAATAAATAAATAAAAAGTATTTATTTGCCACAAAAAAATACAATGTTAAAATTTTAATAGACAGCTTAATAATTAGTTGTGATAAAACGGTCTGTGACTCAGTTGTAACGGGAAACCCATTACTACTGCTATTCTGCCACAGCCTTTGCGCATAATTCATACAGGGTCTTAGGCAATTGATGAAAAACACATATCAACAATAAATAAATAAAACTAGTAATTACAAAAAGTAAAAGTAATTACAACTTCGTTTTGTTATTAAGCATAAACACTCGCTGAAGATAATTGATATTTGATAATGATAAATGTTTAGTGTTCTAACATATTACTCATTCGTTTTTATATCTTTAATCCACCTTCACACTGTTTATGTTATTTTTAATTTTGTTTTCTTAATGCTCATCAAAATATTTAAGAAAGTATAATTTTCTCATGTAAGTGAATTAATGTAAGTAATTAGTTCTTGTAAGAAAAATATCTTAAACATCAAAAGAAAATTTTATTTTGCAACCAATTACAATCAAAATAAGTGAAAACAAATAACAAAAAAGTAATAGTAGTAAGTAGACTTAGTATAAGTGTTAGTGTCCGTTTAAACTAAGAAACATCTCTTAATATGTTTCCACTAGTTACTTAGTGAAGTTCACGTTTTAATGCAGTAACCTTCAATTCAATTCAAAAATCAATACTTTTATGACTTCTATTGTTTTTTTTCAATGATTTTTACATTTCGGTATTTGAGTTAAATATGGAGACCTCAAAAATTAGAGTAATTCTCGAATCCGAGCTCCAATGTGTTCCTAACGCAGCAGAGACAGCTCGCATTATCAATGCTGCTTTTAGGATTAATAAACGCACTATACGTCTTTCGAAGTGGCAACTTGCACTTGAAGAATGAACCATAAGGAAGACCAGACTAAGGCAAATAACAATCTATTAACAGTAGTGATGGAAACCGATCCTTACTAAAAAACCAAGGAGTAAGAATCATAGTTTGATTGACAAACAGGTCGTAAAATTAAAAATTTTGTACAACTGACTTCAATATAAATAAAACAGGAACATCGTCAATCTATATGAAGTTAATTAAATACGCATTACAAATTAGCTTTCAAATAAAAAAAAGGTGCGTCAAAATCGGTTTACCCAGAAAAAAATTCTGAGGTAAAAAACTGATTAAAAAAACACAGTCGAATTGAGTACCTCCTCCTTATTGAACTCTTTTAAAAAGACGAGAAATGGTTGAAGAGCACACGTTGAAGCTTGCCTTGCTTAGACAGGTACACATATAGTGTTTTGGACAGAACTGTGACATAATATTACGTAAAGTGGATGGTGGTGTTCTTTATTATAATTGCAATTGCAGAACCCAGGCGAAATACTGAAACAATAGTAAAGTGAAGCTTATCTAAACAAAAGTAATGTTAACTGTTTGCTGGTCACTTAATGATATCCACTTTTTGAAATCCAGTATATCAATAATAGTCAATGTCTACTGCACAGAATTTCCAAAGGCAAAACTGTCAGAGAAATAACCCTAACTCATCAATCAATCTTCTTCATTGATATCAAAGATAACAAGACCTATCACTGACAGAACATTTTATCATTACGAGACCTGCAGTTAGAAATCATGTACTCACCAGACCTAGCCCCAAATAATTACTTTTAATGCGTTTTGATCAACTCTCAGCAAGGAAAAGAATTGTCCTCAAGTAATGTTAAATGCTTACATAGACGTAGTAGAGCCCAGATTCCCAGACAAAAATGTATTGATATTAATTAATACTTCGATTAAATAATTATTATCTTTTGTAGATAAAAAGATGTTAGAATTTTTCAAAATAAAACGACATTTTAATATCCCATAATATGAATACAAATAAAAACGAATGAAATATGTAATAAAATTGGAGCATTGTCAGTAAAAGGTAATACATGCTCATAATACTCAATATTGTATATTAACTCTTCAATCCCCGTAAAAATCACATGCAGTAGCACGAGTCCGTCAAATCCCGAGCGGTCGCATTCGATCGCACTTTAAACCATTAAAACTTATATTTAGAGACTACTTTTCTATTATGAAGTTTGGTATTATAAAATCTATACAAAATTCTCTATCCTGTGGTCTAAACAAAAGTTAGGTTTTACTTCATTACAAAAATATTTTATTGTATTTTGATAACAAAAAAAAAAAAACATACCAAGCAGATGTCTGCAGCGTGAAAATCACAATTATTTCTATATATACTCGAAATTATTTACATAAAAAGATAAATTATATTCACACAAAAACTTTCATTACAATTTTATAGCAAAACACTAATAAAACACTAGAAAAAACCAAAAATCAACACAATAACATTCACACGAAAATGGCGTACGAAATGAACATAGATTTTAAATAAATATCCATAGACTAAATGACTTTTTATTCCACTAGAGGATAGAAAATTTCATGTTGATTCTATAATGCCAAACTTCTCATAGAAAAGTAGTCTCTAAACATAAGTTTTTATGGGTTAAAGTGCTGTGGGTGGGTGCGGTCACATTTGACTTCTTGAATTTTGACGGAATATCGCCGCGGTCAAATTTGGACGCTTGGTAGCTAAGTGGTTAAACGTTTTAACATCCATTTATTATGTAGATATTGCTAACTTTATGTTACCTTGCTGCTGGTTTGTAGGTGTATAATTATTTGCTAGTGGAGGTTTATCACCGGGCTGCAGAACTGGTGGCACTGGATTGCTGGGATGAAGCATACTCTGAAATATGCATAACATATACCAGTTAGTTATATTAGAACAGAGAGGTAACAATTGGAAAGGAACAATTTGAGCCTCTTTAAATTTTTTACTCTAAATTTGTAAATTTGTTAAAATGTCACTAATAATCTTCATCAAAAATCTTGAATACTAAATTTGACATAACTTAGTATTAAGTTAAGAAACTGTAATTTTCTAAATTAAAGAAGGTGTAGGGTACCTAAAGATAGGTTAAAAGCCATTAAGTGTGTAATATTAGAGACAATGTGCCGACTATATATAGCTTGAATAAAAGACAACCGATGGTGATGAAAGTATCTAATCAAATCAAATCATTTATTTGCAATCTAAGTGTACATAATTGGTATTAAATTAAAAATGTGCTTACAACTTAGACGCCATTTTCAGGCACTGCAAATTTGACAAGGGCACTGCTTATATACTATAACATACATAAGATAAAATAAAATTAAAAGCTATAAAAGATATAAAAATATATAATAGTGTTATTTTTTATCTAAATACTCTTCTACTGAGTAGAAGGGGTTTTGTTTTAAATATTTACCGAGTCTTGATTTAAATTTGGTTAATTCTGATATATTTTTTATTTCCTGTGGTAATTTATTATATACTTTTATTGTCATATAGTAGGGGCTTGTATTTAACATTTTTGTTCGCGACTGTGGTAGGTATAATTTATTTTTGTTACGTGTATTTAAGTTATGCGTATCTTTAATTTTCTTAAAACTATTATTATTTTTGTGGACAAACAGGCATAGATCATAAATGTACATACAGGGTAAGGTAAGAATATTTAGTTGTTTGAAATACGGTCTACAGCTAGTAGTGTTATCTATCTGGGCTAGTATTCTAACGCACTTTTTCTGGGTAATAAAAAGCTGCTGCATATCGACTCTACTTCCCCACAACATAACTCCGTACTTAAGCCACAAATGAGCATAGGCATAGTAAGCTGACAATGCCGTGGCTGTGTCAGTGGTGTATTTAATTTGAAATAAAGCATACGTATATATATATATGCTTTATTATATACGTATATATATATATATATATACGTTTTGAAATTTTAGACTCTTCTCTACTCTCTTACTCTCTTTTGAAATTTTAGAATCTTGAATGCAGGCTGTGTTAACGTTGAGGCTGATGACCTATTAAGACACGCATGCACAAATTCAATGGATGCAGATGGCTCAGGAACAGGTTTTGTGGCATTCCATTGTAGCGGCATGATGTTCAGGTGTGGACTTGTGAATTAGCTGTAAATATGACGACAAACAAAAAAAAAACTTGTATTTTACACAAGTTAAAAAATGTTGCGTATTTCCTGCACAATTATTATTTCCGATTATTAAAAATTTAAGATTCCAGTGAATGATATCATTAAGTAAATTAATAATTGAAATAAGTAATACAATACTTTATGATATGAATTCAAATATGCTGTTAACTTTCACTGAATCCTATGAGTTTTATTAGTCAATATTAAGAAAACTTACAACAGCAGTAGCAGGATCAACAATTCTCATTATTACTTGAGCTTGGAGTAGAGCATAAGCTAATTGAGGATTTTGGAGAAGCATGTTTCTCGCTTCAGATGGGTTGTTCTGCAAATAAAATTAATTAGATTAATATGCCATGCAATACAAAATTATCGTGACGTCGCGGCATAAAGCACTATAAAATATCATGTCGTTGGTAACGTAAAATGCAGGCGACAGAGGGAAATGATACAGTGAGATGAGCAGCAGCATCTTGCCAATAACAACTCAAAAAAAAAACTGCAGTTGCAATGTGTGGCAACTAGAGATGCGCCGAGTAGCACTTTTGCCTAGTAACGAGTACCGAGTTTTACTCTGTTCAATTTTTTTCCTACCGAGTACTCTTCGCTTTCGGATCATCGCACTCTACCGAGTACATCGTACTGGGTAGAGTGCGATGATCCTAAAAGCCCCATTGCTTAAGAATTAGATCGCCATTTAAAAGAAAATTTATTAGCAAAAGAGTCCTTTCGAGTGGTGAGTAGGGTAATAAATAATTTATTACTTTGCAACCTTCCGCTAACTAATTACAATGATGTGTATAAATAGCAGCTGTTTCGGCTCGCCGCTCACTTAGAGGTCAGTCGCCGTAGAGTCTACATTACCTGAGGATGCCTTGTGTAGAGGCGATTGGAAGTAGTGGTGCTGGGAGTAGTGGTGCTGGGACTTGTAGTGACGGAGTTAGTGCATGCAATTGAGGGAGGGCGGGAGGTGCTCTTCAATCCAGGTAGGACACATCATTGTAATTAGTTAGCGGAAGGTTGCAAAGTAATAAATTATTTATTATAATGGATTTCCGCAAAGTAACTCCTGATTCTATCAATTGGTGAGTAGGGCACCAAACAAAGTATTTAGAGCTGGCATGTTTAGCACGCGTGTTTTTATGTGTACCTGCAAGCACCGTGTGTAGCGAGCGATTATTTTCGGAGGCTGGTAACATCTACAAAGAAAAAAGGAATAGGCTGTCTCCAGAACCTGCAGAGAGCCTTGTGTTCCTGCATCATAATTTACCTGTATTAAATTTTAAATATTGATTTTTTTCACTAACCTTTTCCTAATTTTGTCCCATTACTACCAATTCATTATCATTATTGTGATTGTCAAAGATTTCCCAAATGAAAAATACATACTTTTTGATTAAAACTGTTGTTTTAATTATATCGATCTCCCAAAATATATTTTATATATACTATTTTTATTATTTATACTCTATCTCTAGTGGCAACTATGCAAAATATCCTCTAATAAGTCAAATTATGGGAGACCCATTATATAAGTGAACATTTGATAGGCTGTAAATGGTTAATAGAGTGAAAAATAAAGTGAAGAAATGTTCTCGAGTGGCAGCCTCGTACCGGTAGTAGTAGTGTAGGGCGACCCCCGACTAGATGGAGTGACGACCTGGTAAGATATGCAGGAAGTCGATGGATGCAGGTGGCTCAGGACCGTGTTTTGTGGCATTACTTGGAGGAGGCCTATGTTCAGCAGTGGACTTGTGAAGGGCTGTAATGAAATGGTTAATAGATGGATAAAAGGAGGAACATGCAACTTTCCTCCAAATGCCATCCACACGCAACACAGTATGCTCTGCAGGAACGCTGAGCTGATGCAATGTGTACGAATTAAGGATTTAATTGGTTTTTAATAATCTTTATTACTTCACTCTATAAAAATAATGGACTGGAAATAATCTTTATTACCACAAGCTATAAAAATAATGGACTGGAAATTTAAAATAAATAATGAACCTAATTAGTTCTCATGAGTCATAATGAAACTATAACCATCTTTCTTTGAAGATGGCTGCAGGCGACCACAACCTACATTAGCCACTTACCACTGGGTGGACTGTGAGCTTGTGTGTTGTGTGTCAACCTAATATTGTAAAAGTAAAAGAATTATGCAAAATTGCATCCTTTAATAATATTTTCATGTTAATGATGATGCTGATCTTCAATTTCTTGAGGATTAGTATGATCACAGGCTATCTGATTGCAACATAACAAAGACAAGATATTGACATCTAACCATAAATGCAGTATAGCAATGCTATCCACAAAAATATTGAGAATACTATATTTTCATTAACTCAACGATTCAGGACTAAAATGTGTGTTGATGTATATAGGTTTCTTCTTAATTACATACAATGGTAATCAAGCCGTGTAGGTATATTATTTAGATTTTTAAAATATAGTTAATCAAGGACTGTCTGAGACATTACAAATTAAATTAAGTTGGTTTCTACATGATTATAATAATGTTTAACAAAAGTAACAGGATTAGATTACTTTTAATAATACTATGCTCTTCTATTCTGATGATCATTCTTCAATTTTTGATGGCGATGATTCAAATGGAATGGTAAAAATACTGTAAGTCATCAAACATATCTGTGCTTTACAAATTATAATATATTATAATTGGTGTAAGAAAAATTTAATAAAATATTATTCTTATTTTATTGTTTCATTTAAATTACACTAAACAAAAACATATTAACATACCTGAACACAAAGCTTCATTTGTTTCATAAGTTCAAACATTTGTTCTGGAGGTAAAGTAGCCACAGCTTTACTAATAGCTTCAGGTGCTTTTTCTGGTTCCACTGGATCACCATAGGGGTTTTCAACCTGTGAAATTAGATTTGATTTATCATCAGTATAGCATGAATCGTTTTTGAGTACCAAACTACATTATTTTAAGTATTTTTTAAGATAAAAATACCCACAATTTTATTTAGATTGAAAAAATATGTTTTTTATGCAAATTGGAAACTACCTAAGCATACGCAAACATTTTGTCAGATTTTTTTTATATACTTGCAATAGTCAATATTTAGCTTTTTATACGAATGTAAAGAATATTTATAGTACTTATCCATTTTCAAAGAAAAAATGCAAAAAAAAACAGTAATCACAAAAAAACACAATATCTTTTATAGTACACTTCGCACTCAAGAGCAGTTGAGGAGGAAAGGGTGTCGAATGGCTTTCAATGAAATCTGATTCTAATAACTATTGCTTTAGTTATGTGATTGTGCCATGAATGAGTAGTTTGTTTCTTTCTCATTCATTTGATATATGTTACAAGTGATAATATATGGTGGTTTACTTAGAACTTATAAGGTTTTAAACAGGCAGGTATGGAGTTGGCCCGCAGGCCTTGACATAGACAAAGCGGTGGTCCGCCGGCGGGCTAGCCATCCACTAGAGGTTAAGCTTCTTGATTTTTGTTTAGTCAGTGTTTCGATACTCTCTATATCTGATATGCTTTTTTCGGTTACTATATATATGTATTATATTATAAATACATGTGTAAGAATCACCAATAATAAATTAGGGGTTGGCTATAGACGTACAGTACTTGATTTTAATAATGGTTTTAGTTTAGAAGGCTTATTAGGGTAAAGCGCGTGTCAACCATTAGAGATCTTGGCGTGACATTTGACTGCGGATTGACTTTCCATGCACACATGTCTGTCCTAGCTTCAGAATCTTACAGACGCCTAGGTTTTGTCCCACGCAATGCCCGTGATTTCATTAATCCTATTGTCATCAAATTATTATTTAACTGTCTAGTTAGAAGTAAGTTAGAATTTGCTGCAGCCGTCTGAAATCCCCACGAATCCACATATGAATTGTTAATTGAAAATGTTCAGAAAGCCTTTCTGCGTTTTTTATATAAGAAGATTTACGGATATTATCCATTTATGTATCCTACTCCTTTTGTGCTGGGAATGTTAGGATATAATTCACTTTCAGTGCATAGAGCCAGAGATCAGATCCTAATAGCCATAAAAATTTTAAGGAGCATGGTAGATTCCCCAGAGCTGCACAATACTTTGTGTACACTTTATGTGCCTAACAACTACCTGTGTCGTAGGCCTACTCGACGACACCGGCTGTTCGCCACATCCCATTGCCGCACTGTGTCGCGCGCGCAATCCCCGTTGTGTCGCATGCATGGTGCTTTAAACTCCTTAATGGAGACAGTCCCGGAATGTGACATCTTTAATGACACGCTCAAGGTGATCATGTCAAACTGTCTCATGTTATGTGAAAGCCATGTTTGTTAGGTAAATAAGCTGTATGTTGTTATCACTTTATTCTGTTTTATATTGTTTTATTTCCTCTAGTTATTGTTAAGTATGTTTGATCTCTGACTTGTTATTTGTTTTTGAATTATGTTAATTATGTTATATGTTTAGTTTTACCTATTAATTACTGTCATTGGCGCAAGCCGTTTTAATTAATTATAAATAAATAAATAAAGCTTGAACCTATTACACCGTTTTAGATGTCAGAAATGTTTTGAATTAATTACGATAAAAATAAATTTCACTAAAAATTTGCTTAGAACAAAACACAAATATGTCAATTTGATCGAGTACTATGAAGTAGATGTCCATAACTTCATTTGTTTATTTTATTTTGAATTAAGGAGGTTTGTCAGGGTTAAGCTTGATCCTTTTATATTGTTTTTGGATTTTGAAAATGTGTTTTGAATTAATTAGGATAAAAATAAATTTTACTAAAAATTGCATACAATGAAACACAAATATATCAATTTGAGTTTTATAACAAATATCCACCATACCCATTTGAAGACAGGACTCATATACAACAAATTGAGTTGCAGTGAAGAGCAGTCAAGAGGTTTTTCAGAAAACAAAAACAAAAAAAAATATAAGCAATCAAAAATAGTCATAATCAAATAGTAATGTAAAAGATGTTCATCGTAGAGGTGAATGTTTATGAATAGTGTAATCTTGTGGTATGTATATGTATCTTAAGTTAGGCTTATTTAGAATAGCTTACATTTTCTTGTTTTATAATACTTTGCTAGGTGTTAAATTACTTCTCTACATTGCTACTTAGAAAAATAAATGGATTTATTTATTTTTATGATTATGAATACAATATTAGTATTAAAAATACCTGTGGACCTTGCATCAATGCTTGCATTTCCATTCTTGACTTTTCTGTACAAGCATTATCAACTCTGAGTGATCGACCACCTATTTCATATCCGTTTAGATTTCTCATGGCACTGAGAGCGGTCTCCTGATCTTTATATTCGCAAAAGCCATAACCTTTTGGTTTTCCAGTTTCTCGGTCAAAAACTAATTTAAAAGAAAGCACAGGCCCCACTTCACTAAATATATCTTTGAGTTTCTCCTCTGTAGCTTCATAAGGTATATTACCCACTAAAACAATATGAAGTAAAGTTAGAAAATGTTTACAGGTGTGTTCAATATTGTACTTAATAAATTATGTTTTACCAAAAACAGATCTCATGGATTTATCCATGATACTTTGTTCTTCTTTTTCTTTGCTTTTATCCATATTGATAAACTTTTACTGTTTCTTAAGTTAATATCAAACTTCTTTTTGAATGAATAATAAAATCTGAGAAATTAAACCACCGCTCCAATACAAAATAAATCACCTTTTTATTCAAAACTCAAATATATATACTTCTTCAGAATACTCAAGCTCAAGAATACCATAGATAAATAAATATGTAGCAAGCTAAAGAATACTTCAGAACTTCAGACCAGACCATAGATAAATAGATATGTAGCAAGAGCAAGCTCTTTTTTATTAACAGGCTTTACGGCTCTGGGTGCTAGCCCTTCTGAGCCTATAATTTCTTTCGGAATCTTCATTGTTATTTTTTTTCTTCACGATATGCTGATGCATCACATTGCAAAGCCCTTGGGAGATTTCGACGACAGCTCAACCCAGCGGACAGTTGATGACGACAGCCACTCAAGTTTATCAGGCGCCCAAACGATCGAAATAACTTAATTCAAAAAATCGCATCACTTTTACGAATCAAAATCCACTTCAAACCATTATTGAAATGACAAAACAGGAGCGACAATCTGTCTACGGACAAATTCGCGCCAAAACTCCCAAGTAGCAAGCTTCTTTATTAACTTCTTTATTAACTGGCTTTACGGCTCAGGTTTCTAAACCTTCTGAGCCTATCCTTTCTTTTGGAATCTTAATTTTATGTTCTTTTTCTTCACAATATGCTGATGCGTCACATTGCGAAGCCCTTGGGAGATTTTGACGACAGCTCAACGAAGCGGACAGTTGATGACGACAGTCACTCAAGTTCATAAGGCTCCCAAGCGATCAAAATAACTTCAGGTTTATATCGACATCAAAGCACCTGTTTCGTCGTTTTCTCTAATAGTTCACACGCGCGGACACTTAATTCACAAAATCGCATCACTTTTACGAATCAAAATCCACTTCAAACCATTATTCAAGCGACAAAACAGGAGCGACCACAGATCACTATATACTAGTCTACGACAATCCACAAGCGACAATCCATCTACGGCCAAGTTCCCGCCAAAACTCCCCAAGTAGCAAGCGTAGTGTAGTAATCATAGAGGTTAGAGAGAAGAAGAACGATCGCTACGTACTAAAGCATAGCCCGACTGTCCCTAAAAAATTGTAGAATTTATAGCGGCACTGCCGTCGGTGAGTAGTGGCTGCAAAGTTAGCTGTTTATGAGTTAGTTTAGAGTTAACCTTTCTCTTACTGCGCCCGCCGTAACAAAAAAACAGCTTTGTACAGGGGCCTCTGTCGTCGCGCCCGCCATAACAAAAAACAGCTTTGTCACCTCAGCTGGCGGCACTTGTTATAAACATTTATGTTTCTCACTTATGTTTAAAGAGGTTTTTGTTACAGTTATTTAAAGCCGATAAGATTTTTGAAAAGTAGAAACAATAACCATAACATTTAAATGTTTATTTTATTTTGTACAGCTCTTTATTTCTAACAGATCTTGATAAAGTGTACTTACTGACAACAAATTTTATTTTATGAATGAAATATCATAAGTTTTTATTTTCTTTTTATGTCCTTACAATCAATACAACATATTCTTCCAAACAACGAAATTATGTATGTAATAATTATAATAATTCTACTTTTTCACTTGCAAACATTTGCTAAAAATTTGACAATAGACAGTTTGCGCGCGCTTTATAACCTCATTTTCAAAACCTTTTTGTGTATATATTATAGCGTCTTCCTTTATTTTTCTTATACAATCATATAGATATAACATTTAAGAATTCCTAGTAAAAGTATTTACTATGGTATTCGAATAAGTAATATACTATTATTATGTTATTAGAAATCTTGACCGTTATGAATTGTTCGCGTAGAGGTTTTTTGATACTACTTTTTTATCAATTGAAACATAAAAAGTTACTGTTGTTGTAACTTAGATCATTCAAAAACATTACGTAGTAAAGATAAATAACATTACTTACAGTTTTTTGAAAGAAAATCCAACTAAAAGCACAATCACAAAACTTCAACGATTACGAAACTAACAGCACCAACAGCACAAAAGCAAATGGCTGTTATATTTGATTTTGTCTATGTAACCGAGTGAATATAATTCTTCAGAATACTCTTTAGTTCGTTCAGAATCGAATGAAATAGTGTTCAATTGAAAATATACTGTATTTTTATATCAATTAATGATGAAAATAGCAGCACGTAATGCGGACATGAATTCATGTCCGCGGTACTCAACGGTCACAAAACGTGGACATGAATTCATGTCCACGGTACTTAAGAGTTACTTGTAGTAGATGAAGTTAGTTGAATAATGTACAAATTTTCTTTGCCTGAATTGGGATGCTTTCGCACCATAAGGGTGACATTAGCTAAATTTTAAAGAACTTTTTGTAATTTTTTTACTGCACAGACTTTCACCATATTTCTTTTTACAATAATTATTTTATTGCTTTCAAAATTTTTATTTTCAAAATCATTCTCAACATATTTTACGGTGATTTATCATTCGCTGTAGCTACTCGAGCGCTGTTGTAGAGAGTTTTTGAACTGTTATTTACTCCTAACGGATGTATTTTCAATTAATCTTCTATGGGGGATAGTCCTCCTTACCTCTATACTCCATGTCCTATAATCTAAGCTTCAGACCATAAAAGTTAGAGAACAGGAGAACGATCGCCGTAGAAAATAGTGTCCCAGAAATATGGACACCATAAGTGAGGCGCTGCGATCGTTAAGTTCGGTCAATAAAAGTTGTAGGGGATGAGAGCAAATGGACTGTATATTTATTTATTCGTGTACACTAGGGATTAGTATTGTTAGGTTTATTTACTTGAACATACGTACATACACACATTTATATACAAACGGTCATAATTATACTATACACAAATATTCATAGAACTCAAACATACATCAATGCTTATAAACGTACAAATAACAAATGATCAAAAACACATACATAACACTTATACCATTCCTAATCCATGCTTAGCGTATTTAAAGGCTATTTGTTAACTTTATAAATATAAAATAAGTCAGAATAAATCGTTACTAAAGAACACACGCCTCTTTCTGTCAATTTCAAGTATATAGAATCATCATCATCATCATCATTACAGCCCTTCACAAGTCCAATGCTGAACATAGGCCTCCCCCAAGTAATGCCACAAAGCACGGTCCTGAGCCACCTGCATCCATCGACTTCCTGCATGTCTTACCAGGTCGTCACTCCATCTAGTGGGGGGTCGCCCTACACTACGCCTACCGGTACGAGGCTGCCACTCGAGAACCTTTCTTCCCCATTGGTTATCGGTTCTTCGAGCTATATGGCCGGCCCATTGCCACTTCAGCTTACTAATCCGTTGGGCTATGTCGGTCACTTTGGTTTTACTGCGGATATCCTCATTTCTGAGTCTATCATGCAGTGAAACTCCGAGCATAGCCCTCTACATAGCTCGCTGAGCGACCTTGAGCGTCCTCATACGGCCAGCGATGAAGGACCACGTCTCAGATCCATAAGTCATCACTGGCAACACGCACTGGTTATACACTTTAGTTTTCAGAGATTGAGGTATACCTGACGAGAAGATGTGTCGTAATTTCCCGAACGCTTGTATTTATATAGCATGTAAGGAATGATACAAATGTTGGTGGATCAATAAAAAAAAAAAAAAAAAAACGCTGCCCAGCCGAGTTGAATCCGTCGATTGACCTCTCGGTCGAAGTTGGACTTACCTAGTCGGACTATTTGTCCCAGGTAAACGTACTCGTCAACAACTTCGAGCATAGTGCTCCCAACAACTACCGGCATAGGTGTGACATGGACATTAAACATGATCTTTGTTTTGTCCATGTTCATCTTAAGACCTATCCGTTGGGAGACACCATTGAGGTCATTGAGCATAGTGCTAAGGTCCTCCAGCGATTCTGCCATAAGGACTATATCGTCGGCAAATCGAAGGTGAGTGATGTACTCGCCATTGATGTTAATACCGTATCCTTTCCAGTCCAGTAGCTTGAACACGTCTTCCAACGCAGCGGTGAAGAGTTTCGGGGATATAACATTACCCTGTCTTACACCTCTCTGCAGTTGGATAGGTTTCGTACTCTGGTTCTGTACTCGGATAGCCATCGTAGCCCTACTGTACAAACACTTCAGCACTTCAATATACCGATAGTCAACTAGGCACCGCTGAAGAGACTGTAGCACCGCCCAAATTTCGACGGAATCAAAGGCTTTCTCATAGTCCACATACGCCAGGCAAAGTGGCAGATTGTACTCTTCGGACTTCTGTACAATTTGCCGAAGGGTATGTATGTGGTCTATGGTACTGAAGCCTTTTCGGAAACCGGCTTGTTCGGGAGGCTGGAAGTCGTCGAGTCTGCGTGCGAGACGATTCGTAATGACTCTCGAAAACAGCACGTAGACGCGGCTCAGAAGGGAAATCGGTCTGTAGTTCTTCAAGAGAGCGTTGTCGCCTTTCTTAAAGAACAAGACCACCGCGCTTCTGCTCCACGCCTCTGGAGTAGTGCCACCATGGAGGACGGAATTGAAGAGCTTCTGAAGGACTTCAAGTACCGGTGTTCCACCCGCTTTCAGAAGCTCCGCTGTAATTCCATCCTCGCCCGGGGTCTTGCCGTTTTTAAGGTGGTGGAGAGCCATTCTAATCTCGCTCAGACTGACGTCCGGGATATCATCGGAATAGTGTCGGGTAAGACTTGCTCTTGGATTGTTACTCACACTTGCGTGTGGCTCCAACGATGATGTGTACAGCTGCTCATAGAACCTCTCAATCTCACTCAGAATCTCAGGTGTCCCGGAAACGATGTTGTCACACTCAGTCTTCAGCCTTGACAGTTGGCTCTTTCTGGCAGACAGATCTCTGGCAAAGACTTTGGAGCCCTGGTTCCGCTCGATCGCTTCTTTAATACGAGCAGTATTAAAGTTGCGTAAGTCTCGCCGCATGCATTTGGAGATCTGTCTGTTCAGTTGCCTGTATGCTGTCAAATCTGTT